ATCTCAGCATTTCATACGAGTTATATTTCGCAACATAACCTGCCATTAAGAAGAAAAAGGCAGTAAATAAAAGAGTTAAGGCTATGAATACTATTTAACAATGACTAGGGAACGGGAACTTTATAGTTTAGGTCTTCTGAAACAAGCGCTTTCGGAATTTTTTCTCTTAAACTTCAAGACAGATCCTTAGGGTAATAAATATTTATATTCATGAACCCTATAGCACAGAAATCCAAAAATACTAAAAGATTTTACAATGTTTAACGTTTTGTTTTCTGCCTTCTATAATTTTCATGGCAGGTTACTAAGCGAAATACAACCACAACGTTGCTGAGACATTTGCAAAACTCTGGACCGCAGGTGTCTATGGTGGGGAACGAACGCACTACTATCCTTTACGGGGAGTAGCGCCTTCACCACCACACCATGCGGGTCCTTCGTTTCGCCTGTCTCTCAGCTATTTCTATCGATATTTTTGCCACAGCAAAAAGGGTGACCCGCATGGTGTGGTGGTGAACGCGTTACTCCCCGGAAAGGATAATAGCGCGTTCGTTCCCCACCATAGACACCTGCGGTCCAGAGTTTTGCAAATATCTCAGCAACGTTGTGGTTGTAAAAGATTTTAATCCTACTTTACTTCGCTAACTTCAAGTGTTTGCGTAAACCGTCTTCCTATTTGAAAAAATTACTCAAAAGAAAAACTAAACAAGTAGAATCTAACATCTTCGCGACAGTGCCCACTGACGCCAATGTGCACGTGGGTGGGATCGGTGGTCGGTACATATTGACTTCAATCCGTCTCGCCAGTGACTGAAAATTAGGTGTCCTTCCATGCCCCGGCCATCCAAAATTTGGTATCGTTGCAAATGTGTTGAATTGTTTCGTGTCATTTACATCTTACGCGAGATGTAGAAACAGAATCTTGCACTAATCTATAGCACAACGAGTATTCTAAGCACTGGTGAGCAAGAGGCAAAAGTCACCCACTATTGTCCTTACCTGAGACTTGGGTGGCCCTGGTTCTGGTGGTAACATAATTTAGATTTGCATCTCTCTTGCTCACGTGTTCTATTGTGGTGACCTGCTAGTAACGTGGTGACGTTAGCGAAGTCCATTCCAAAATCCTAAAATTGCTCCCATCTGCGAATTCAGATTGTTGATGTTAGCCATGAACAAGTCCACCCATTATTGTTTGGTTGGTCATTGAGGAGGACGCTTGTATTATGTTGAAGTACAGCCGCTGCTTTTTTCGTCCATATTTAATCTGCTCTTCTATATGACTGTCCCATCTGTGTTTTGCTACAGATGTACATTCTCTTTGATACCAAAGATAGGATGTTAGTTCCAAAGATCTGAGCTTTGCATTCCAGCTAGACGTTGTGAGTGCTCGTTAAACTTCAGAAGACATCGTTCAAGCGCTATGTGGGTGGTAGGAAAATTTCTTGACGTGTTTAAAGCATCAGCTACATCTCTGCTGTATAAGAGAGCGCTGGGGGCACTGTTGAGTCGAAAAGGTGAGTGGGAAGTTGTTGGTCATTTGTTCGGTCGATGGAGTCTTACAGGTCCCCGAATGCCGTCTATGCTTTTTTTCTTCTATCTAATTCATCCTTCATGTTGCTGCCCACACTTATTAAACGCCCAAGGTAGACGTGCTAGGGGATCTCTGTACTCGAAGTGTAATCCACTTCAACTGGTTGGTCTTTGAACCATTTGTGCTTCATTAAGTGGTGAACTTCCCACTTATGCGTAGTCCAATTTCTCCTACAGCTTCGTTGAGCACATTCACCATAGTCTCCACTTCGTTAGAAGTCTTCAGAACGATGACGATCTCGTCAATAAAGCGGAGATTTTATGGGAAATTTCCACTGGTGCATATGCCGTTATCGCGCCAATTAAGCGAGTTCATTATCCACTGCAGCACTGCAGTAAACAGCTTTGGCGATATAGTGTTACCTTGTCGAAGTCCTTTTCCTATGTGTATGCCAAGGCATCAGTGAAAAGCTGTATATTTGTGCTGCAGTTCCCATGGCAGTGAACCAAAGTTCTTATGATGGATAGATCCACTCCTCGTTCGAAAAGTACTGATAGGAACGGATTTGTTTCGATGCCGTCAAACGCTTCTTCATAGATGATAGAGTTTAGCACAAGAGGCAGATGGTGCCCCTGACAGAGTTATATGACCCTCGACAAAGGTCCATGCACCAGAATCTTTCTTAGAGTCTTGCTTATTCAAATGGTTTGCCTTATTAGAAGTCCTTGATATACACAGTAGGGTAATCCTTGTGCGGCGCTTGTAGAGTGCACTCAACAAGCATATCGGGCAGGAGTTACGAAGATTCCTTCGGTCACTCTTCCTTGGCAAGATGACCGTGTGCGAGATCCTCTAATGGTCTCAGATTTTCTTTTTCTGAAAATAAAATATGTATGATATGCGAGGAGTGCATGTAATTTGTGGTTTCCATCACGAAGGAACTCGTTAGTAATATAATGTATATGAGCTCTGAAGCTCAACCTTACCTCTTGCCTTCTATTGCAATTCGAATTTTAAAGCGTAGAATTCCACTTCGTTTTTCTCTACTTAAGGAGTATGACACGGAGTTTGTGGAGTGGAGATGATTGGTATAGAATTTTTCCGCTACCTATTCCATGTTATTGCGGGATATGGCGAGAGTCCCATCTTCATTCATCATGGCTTAAAGGCCAGCGCTTTTGTCGCATAGATCCCGACGACATTTCTTCAGACGAGATAGTCTTTCAGCTTCATCCAACAACTTTTTCCATTTGCAGGCTATGTAAATCCTCCTGAAACGACCTTCTGCATCCGGGATTATCCGCCGTACTCGGAGTATTCCAGTAGAGTCAAGTTTCAGTTTTTTCTCTTTTCGAACCACTGCCTAGAGGTGACCAAGGTGTGACCTAAGCCTCTTATTTGAGGAATTTAGGCGAGTTTGGCACAAGTTTTACGTCCTTCGACACACCGATTGTAGCACTCGGTAGGATCTTTCTTGATCTGTCAGTCTATGAGAAGAGAATTTTGCTGGGTACTTTTAATTTAACCGTACATGTTGCCTTTTTTTCACGACGGAAAGATGCTTTCCCATCTTACGGCTGAAATGAATATTCGTATGGAGAAGGCACTAATCGGATCAAGTACAGAATTCAGGCTGCACTAAGGTGTAAAGAGGCCCCATCTTCTGTCTGTGAGACCATGGTGGACCTACGCTCGAGTGGTGTTGTTACGGGAACAGCTATTAGTTTCTTGTAGAGTGATCAGATGGGATTTAATACGATCATCGACATCAAGAAGTGCGTAAAAATCGGCGCCTGAGGAAACTGTTGTGACGTTATAGAATCGCGGCATGAAGAAGTCTCCATGGTGTGTCGCTTGAGACACCTTAGCTTGAGATACCCTACTGGTAGATGAATTCCGCTGTACACAGCATTCCGACACTAAAGAACAGCGTCCAGACACGATGAGGCGTCAAACCATTGTGGTCACTACTGTCCTAAATATCGAATATAGATATCCGTTGTCATAGGAGGATATCTCAAACATCTTTACTAATTTGGTTATTCTCATTTACGTATATGAAAGCTTAATTTATAAAGATTTAACAGAAAGCAGCTACACGTTAAGAGCCTTTTCCAACCCCTTGAACCAAACACTTTTCAATATTGCCTTTCTCAATGTCTCAACAAAGCAGTTTTTAGGAAATTCTCCGTGATGAGTTGTACTGTCAACTTCTTCGTCAGATAACGATGAATCCATCAATAGTGTCCGAAGAGCGAGGATGGGAATTACTATGGCTCGCAACAGGACTATTTGCACCGAGTCCAACCCTGTTAAAAGAAGTTCGTGATTCTAGGAAAAGCTTCCCAAGTCTCTTTGATCATGCGAAAGTTTCTTCCAGGAGAAACATTGAGGAAGCATTATATAAATTAGAATATAGCTCAATAAATTACAGTTTAAATGTTGGGAGTTCACTTCACTACAAACATTGCAAGAGGTGAACCTTTTCCCGAAATCGAATTCTTGAAAACCCATGATTACTATTTTTATACATTCAAAATTCTATCCTTCAAGCCACAGTTGTTCTACAGGTGGTGTTGTTCTTGAGATCGCGTCATCACCCTCTGGTTTATGATTGTCTCTCCAGAATCAAAAGGTTCAACAAGTATGTCGAATTAAGTTTCCTAATGTATCGTCTAAAAAGGAGCCGATACGAAACTCTATTGATTTCAGGGGATGTTCAAGAAAATTTCCTCCTCATCTCGTAGAAGTCGAAGCAATTCAGAACAAGACCACACAAATCTTCCATAAGGCATTTATCCAATTCGTTCTGCTTTCAGACAGTTCTGAAAATCCTACTCATACTTGTTTTTGTAATTTCACAACTCTAGTAGTACTAGGAACCAGTTTTTCAGGTCTACTTCCCAGATCAGTCGAGTGAAGCGATCGAAGTAGAGTCGTCGACGAGAGCTCGTGACTTCGTTGTTCGAATAGCACAACGACTGCAACTTAGGAAGACGGACGGTTTCTCGCTTTTCATCAGAATAAAGGAAAAAGGTTAGCCCAGTGAGAAATCTACAAAACGGTTCGTAAAAACTTCAAGTTCCACACATTATCACTGTAGCTTCAACCATTTCCTCATTTTTGAAATCTAAACATCTTTGCAAAACCATGAGATGTGTTAAACGACGAGCAACTTCATTTCTGAAATAGAGTACTTCATAGAGTTACAAGAGCAATTTAAAGACTCATTGAATGTCTTGCCCAATTATAAATATAAAACCACTATCCGATAGCAGAATAAAGCCCTAACTATGACAAGAAGATGTGGAGGAACATGAGCTTCTTCTACCTACTTCGTTTCCAAACAGAACATACGCGTAGCAAGTCGCCTTTCAGTTCTCGCCGTACCCGAAGCCGAGTTCTTCTTTGACTTCATTCGCCAGCTGTCTGACTGGATGCAAGTTAATCATATCACGAAGGTGAGCGACCTCGTTAGAAACCACAATATACTCTTGCGATCAAGAACTTCAGCATTTCAGGAGAACACTACTGCTTCCTCCAGCTATCAGGTGTTTTTCATGAGAAAATTATGGATGAACGTGAAACCTGGAGAAGATACAAATGCGGATTTGATATTCCACTACCCTCAGGTGCGATGGACTAAAATTCTACGCTCTCCGACGAACAAGAACGCCAATAATCTGACCGCTTCAAGAAGATTCATAGAATCCTCCTAGTAGAATTTTTTTCCCTATATCATTAGCACTGCTGTCAAGAAATGCGCTAACAAAATCTTCACAATCTATTGATAGCCTACCTAAAGTTTCAACCATTTCAGTCGAAATCAATTTAAATAGAACTGGTAAACACCTCGAAAGTACAAGATGTCCTGTCGAACCAAATCTCTGTACACTTTGTGATGATCTCATAGAAAATTTAACGTTTGTATGCTTCTCTTTGCACTTCATTCCAACAATATTTCAGTTAGGATAGGATTTACAAGTATTTGTATTTGAGTATTAAGGAGTGCCCGAAATATCTGCTCGGTTATCACAAGATTGGGAAGCAGGAAGCCATCTATCTAGCAGCACTCATTCTGAAAGCCATAACTAAGGACTCGAAAGTGGGTCATTTGACTAATTTAAAGGGTCACAGAAAGAAAATTTCATCCGATGTCTTCCAGAATGCTCCATTAGCACAGATTCCACAGCTACTGAGTAATCTAGTTCCAAAGGATGTGATGAATCTTGCATCAATGAATGAGTGGAAAAGGGTTTGTTATAGTAAAGCACGTCGTAGTATATAAATAATATAAATATCTTATCCTTCGTTAAATTCGTGACTACAGAAATCCATGAGAAACTCTATTAAGACCAGTCGCTTGTAACATCCGTCCTTTCCTTGATTCCCAACTGATTCAAGCCAGCAAGATATCTATGTCGCGAGCGAGAGCAGCTCAGTAGCGCTATCTTCTCTAGGTAGTTGTTGAGCATGTATTTTTTAGAACCTTCGTAAATAATCGTAACCATTAGGCAATTTGTGTTTTACGAGTCACAGAAACGCTCTCTTGTTAACTGACTACCGTCAAAAGGCACTATGTATCCGGCCTAACTGATGTTTAACATCTTAAGACGCAGACGGCAGTCGCTCTAATCTTTCCATGCGCAGTCGAAAAGTGCAGCATCGGAAGATTTTTCATGGTCAGAAAAGTGAGACCTTTTAACTTTGCTTTTCTTAGGGACAAGTACAAGCACCCTGTCTAACCTGATTCGTTTACCACCTGATCATAGTTGGGGCAATCAAACATGTCGAATTACAGTGGGCAGAGCGCATTTCATCTTAAAACAAGTCTCCTCAGTTGAAGTGGTCAATATTTCTATTTGCATACCCAGTTAAGAATACACTTAAACCGCAACAAACAAACTCAAGCTACCCATACCTGCTTTCTCATTAGGATAGAAAAATAGCAAAAAAAGGCATCACATCAAAAAAGAGATGTTGTTCACGTCAATCGAAAAAGCGGACCGAGTCCCTCTGGTACGAGACGAAGGCGAACGCAGTCTGCTCGTGCCCGCTAGAATCACCTTATGTTTAGTAACTCGATACGCCGACTTTCTATAAACTTCGGCACAGATAGTTGATATATTTATTTATATGATCTTAAAAACTGATCTTCTTAAGCTGATGCGAGGTTGGTACAGGTCTTCATTGTCGCTGTCGTTGTTGTTGATGTTGTATTGGTCGATGGCTGACGTCTCGGCGACTTCGTTTTCCTCAGACCCTGGACGTACATTATATCAGAATATTTTTATTATTCGGTAAAAAAAGTTAAAGTTTTAATGAAGATCAAACTTTTAGATAGACGTCATATTGAATAGAAAGCCCACTCACCGTGATGTTACCTGCGGGACCGGCCCACGCGTTGTTAACGTAGGGTCGCGAGCAAGACACACTCCGGGTCAAAATATCATTTTGAAATAGGTCGCCAAGTTACGCATAATAGTGAGGCATTCGTCTTTCCGGTTCACCTTTGAATTTCTGAAATTTATCCAAAACGCTTCAAGAGTTTTGCGCGTTGATGTTTTTGGTTTTCTGCGCTAGGATCCACACAGTTACTTCAAAATCATCGCCATTGTGACTTTGTGCCCTATGCGTACCTAGAGGGGTGTTTAAACGGATTTTAGCTTTTCCATCTAGATGTTCCTTTATGCGCCTACAAAGTGGTCTATCCCTTTCCCCAATATATTCCTCACCGCGTGCGTTACATGGGACCAAGTATATTATGCTTGAACTCATGCAGTCCCCATCTCTTCCGTTAGGACAGATCAAGCAGTTTTCTGAGCTGCACAAACGATCATAGAGACGTTAACGACTTCGTTGTTCGAATAGCACAACGACTGCAGATGTATTCCGGGAGTAACGCGTTCACCACCACACCATGCGGCTGCTTAATTTCGCCTGTCTCTCAGCTAGTTATATTGATCTAGGTTTTGACATGAAAAAAGCACTTATTAAAAACATGTACCGTACGGCTAAAAAAGTGTGCATAGGAGAAGTGGAAAGGAAGGAATCGCAAAACCTGCCACAAAAAATAGCCATTTCCAATTGCTACGAAGGTGAAGCCACTCGGGTTAGAGAAAAACGTGTAGTACTCTAAAATAATATTTCGGACGTACGTAAGATCCCCTTTAAGCTACCCTTCATATCAAATGAAGTAAGTCACGCCATTAAGAGGCGCTTAAGAAAAGTGGTCTTGAAAATTATGTAACGATTATTGACATCCCATCCAATACCCTACGCCATCAGTTAGTTCGCAACCGTCTCTATGATCGTTTGTGCAGCTGAGAAAACTGCATGATCTGCGCTAACGGGAGAGACGGGGATTGCATGAGTTTAGGTACAATATACTTGATCTCATGTAATGCATGCGGTGAGGAATATAACGGGGAAACGGGTAGACCACTTTGTGTCCGCATAAAAGAACATCTAGATGGGAAAGCTAAAATCCGTTTAAACACCCCTCTAGGTACGCATAGGGCAGAAAAGCACAACAGCGATGATTTTGGAGTGTGCGGATTCCAACGCAGGAATCAAAAACAGCAACGCGCAAAACTCTTGAGGCGTTTTGGATAAATTTCAAAAATCCAAAGATGAACCGGAAGGACGAATGCCTCACTATCACGCGTGAACTGGCGCCCTATTTCAAAATGATATTTTGACCCTGAGGCGTATCTTGCTCACGACCACACGTGAACTACGTGTGGGCTAGTCCCAAACGTAACATCACGGTGAGTGGCCTTTCTGTTCAAAATGGCGTCTGTTTAAAAGTTTGATCTTCATTAGTAGTTTAACTTTTTTTCCACCGAATAATAAAAATATTCTAATATAAAGTACGTCCAGGCTCTAAGGAAGGCGAAGTCGCCGAAACATCAGCCATCGACCAACAACATCAACAGCAACGACAACGACAACGAAGATCTGTACCAACCTCGCGTCAGCTTAAGAAGATCAGTTTATAAGATCACATAAATAAATATATCAACTATCTATGCCGAGGTTCATAGAAAGTCGGTCTTTCGAGTTATTGATAACAACACTGCTGTTTGATGTTGCTAGAAAAGAAAATTTTGAACTCTCACTGAAATCCACTATGAGACAGTGCTGTTTTCCATTTATCACCATGAAGGGCGGAGTATCGATTAAAGGACAAACCTCATTCCAGGATTTCTGGAGAAGAATCGCGATACGTTCTCGGCCGATCTGCATGCTCTAATACAGTCGAGCAGGATGCATCTACTTCAGAGAATTTTCGATGACACCGATGTTACTACTCGGTGAAAAAACTCCAATGATCTTTTTCACAGGGTCATTGTACATATTGTCCCTAGAGGAAATAATTCAGAATTTCCAGAAACAAGAGTGTCACCGTTAGTGCTCAATTCCGTAAGTCACTCGATCAATTGATGCAACAGTTGAATCAAACACAGCCTTTCTTCATTAAATGCATCAAACCGAATGACCACAAAAAAGCCTTGGTAAGTGAAACAATAAAGTTTTTCCAGGTTTTTTCTACTTTCGATACAGTTCTTTCTAGAATTTAGTTATTATCCCTAGGTTTTTTCCGATTAGTTTCTTCTTTCTTATGGTATCAGAAATTTTCTTCATCTTTGATGAGAAGAAGTTAGCTTTGAAGCGTGTAATTAAACGGGGCAACATCTTCAAAATCATATCTGTCACCATTCTTATGATAATGGTACTGATTTATAAATAAATCATAACGCCAATTCAAATTTTTGTAAGCATAGTGTAAGTTGCGCAGACAATGGATTGCGACCTGGTGTTGAGGCAGTTACGGTACTCAGGAATGCTGGACACTATCAAGATTCGACGCAAGGGCTATCCAGTACGTCACGATTTCGAATCGTTCGTGAGTCGTTATCGAGTGCTCGTCGACAGCATCGGTTAGTAACTCAGCTACTACCTTTGTTTTAAAATTTTATAGATATGAAAACACAACTATTTTAAAAAATGACTCGTCACAAACACCACTAAATCCCTGAAGAACCATGTTATGTGGTTTCACATAGCAGTAGCTTTGATCCTTGGGCAATAAATATTACCTAAGTCAGAAGATTGAACCGGAATATGCATAGTTAAAAGATAAGAGTAAACCTAAGTCGGTTAACGTAAGTAAACCAATTTAGTAAGAGCTCCATTATTATAAGGAAGCATAGTGTCAAGTTTCTTTAAAAGCCGTCTGAAAAAGGGTGCTAAAACAGGATTTATAATGGAACATATAGCAAGAGCTAAATCAGTTTAGTAATCGCTCACCACATCGACAGCCGCTCGTTGGCCGAACACATCTGCATGCAAATGCTTGGAGATGGCTCCGATTTTCAACTAGGCAAGACGAAGGTGTTCCTCAAAGAGAAGGATGATCTTTATCTAGAAAAAGTAATTCCGAATAGAATTCTTTTTTGGAAGGCGTTGAACTTTGAAGACTGTAATGATTATAGGAGTATCATCGTATGATAGAGTACCGCACTACGGTGATTCAAAGGCACGTTAAAGGTTGGATTGCGAGAAGTTCGTTTAGAAAGAAGAAGGAAGCCGCAATAGTGATTCAAAAGCACTGGCGACGTTACATTTATCAGAAACGACGCGCACAAGTAAGAATTTAACTCTACCAGGTTAAATTGTAAGTCAAAAGGCGCCATGTTACCTTTATATTATTTTTCCTTGCTGCGCTTGAATATTTCATATCTAAACTACCAACTAAGAAAAAACTAAGAAACTAAACGATCTTTTAAACTAGGTATTAGAACTTCTAAGAAGTTAAGGTTCTACCTACCGTTTCTACAGTTATGAGTCCATGAATTTTTCTTTGATATCAACAGCTCCGTAGTGTTAAAATGTTAAAGTAACGATAATACCAGTAATTATACCAGCAATGTTTTCTATTTATATGACTCAGCATAGTTGACAGCAGAGTAATACAGTGGTAGTGATCGATTTCACTAAGCGGGCGACCGAATCTACCCAGGCCCCGGTTCTAACACTCTCCGAGCCTAGCAAGCCTCTCATCTCTCCGCGTTCTGGATGTTGGAAGCGAACATGTCTGGGACGAACTCACTCCCTCTACTCTTCGTCAGCATGTCTCATTACGCCTATCTCAACAGTACAGGAAAAGTCGTCTTTCAGCATTCAATGACATTCATGGCGAAGACGAAAGTCCTCAAGAAACAGGCGAAACAAAAAAAAGCAATCCATGCATAAAAGAGCTCGGGACCTTTGTGGGAGGAAGGCGCGAGGAAGCAAACCAAAAGCAGAACTACTAGGGTTCTAAAAGTGGGCTATTTGTGATGTCAGGGCATTTAATAAAGTAGAAAATAGCCGGGTTTGTGCTTGGGTTTGAATATCAGTTGAAGTTTTTGAATGCCTGTCAAATTGATTTTTCCTTGTGCGTCGAGGCAGCCGTTGTAGAACATTCTAAGGTCTTTACCACAGATAGTCATCTTTCTCTTCGGATCGGAAGGAGACAACACATCTGCTTACAATTTACCGACCCCCGTAGAGATGAAAGAGTGGGGAACAGCGAGAAGCAAAGCCAACGACCACACGTGTATTGTAGAGCATTTTCAACCATTACCCTACATATATTTTACTGCTACTTCATGAAATTTCCACTCGTCATTTCTGTAGCATTTCGGCTTTTCGAAAACGTGATGGAAGCTTTCGTGGCCATGTCCAGTTCACTCCAGTAATTCGTCATCACTCTAATACAGAAGCAGAATTGCATGAGTTTTTCACCAACGCGATTGTCGGTATGGAGATTTTAAATGCTTACCGTTAGACTAAGGTACGTGTGCAGCAGTGGTCGGAGGCGCCCTGCAACACACACGTGGAATCGATTCTCACGCCCATGGCCCACCAAGCCTTCCATCCCTCCGGGGTCGGCAAATTGGTACCAGACTTGTCTAGGAGGATAGCAGCACTGGCTCGACACATCGGTAAGCCACCGTGAGTCATTGTAAAGGCCAGATTCAATCACCTCTAAACTATGCTTAATGAAGTCGATTGCATGGCGCATCCCTCAGAGATTGATCAACGCTGAGAGTTTTATCTTCACTTTTTACCGTTAGCCTACATCTGAGCTTTTCCTCTATCTTACGCCTGCATTGGTTTTTGGATGGAGATGTTAGAGAGTTTCAGTGACGTCTGAGTGGGAATCCCTTTAAATTTATGGCCTTAATAATCAATAGCACCCTTTATAATTCTGTTCAAGCATATTACCTGAAGACGAAATTCTACCTTCTGGTTGTTGTGCTTTCAGTTGATTTCGTGATATAGTCGTTATAACCATAGTTGTCACTCATATCCTTTTATCTGTGGTTCCTCTTTACTCTATCGTTTTCACATAGATTAAAACAGCTCGTGGAGGTAGCAATTTCCTATGGTTTTCTCTTTCTTATGTTTTTCCTTAAAGCCCAGTCATCAAATAGAAAAGTCTTGACACTTCACGGTTGAACGGCTCGTCCTCACCGGTTGTGCGGGCCCCAGCATAATCACCATTTATCGGAGATTTGCTGGTTAAGCCATTGTGGTTCCCTAGAATCCCGAGGTCAGTCTGGCCAATGGTCTTCACCACTACGTGCAGTCGCAGCACTTGTGGATCAAACGGAGATTTACCACTATACGACTTCGATAGCAGCATGGTGGCGGATCCTGGTATTGGTTCATTCTTAGCTAGGTTTCCTGATGGAATCGCCGTACTCCTTCTTTGCTTGGAAGATCCTGCCGGGGAGACGATCCCTCCGCTATACATCGCAGCCCGACACCCAGGAACACCTCCCAGCCACGATGAGGCGCTAAACCGTTGGGAGGAAATAGAAAGATATCAGTAATAGTTTTTTCATTTTGCTTGTTTACTTCTCTTAGGTGATAATGTTAATCAACAAGGATGAATTTGGCAAATATTAGGCAGAGGAGCGGTGATGAAGCATGTCAAATGCTCTTTGTTATAAAATCACTTTGGTTATGTTGTATTTTAGTAGGATCTTGTAAGAAGTTGGGAGCCTAGCTTGAGAAGGGCTGAAAAATCGAAATATAAAATTTGCGGCTCCATTTTCTCAAAAGTCTTTAATTTTTAACGATAACCAAGGCTGAAGTTGTAAGCATTATCGGACATTAACTTCTATTCACTATCAGTTCTTTTTTCTTCATAGCAAGGTATTATGTGATGCAAAACCGCAATGATGCTAAGATATGAACAGAACTCGAAGCAACAGGCAGATTTCCAACACTCGATTACCCTTTCCGGGGTCTTACGTGCTATCCACCAACCGAGGCCATTCTTGGCGTTTTCTTTTTTTGCTCTAACAGCGCTATCAGCATTATCGAATTTATCGTAGTGTTTTACATTGATCCAACATGGATGAGCTATAATATAGCTGAATATAATATGTAATTGAGTAACTACTAAGTCAGCAGGTGTTTTAATGATGGTGTGTTCGAGTATAGCTCGTGCTTCAGATTGTCACTGGTATCTGCCGGCTTCAAGCTGTACTTCGTTCTCGTCAACTCGTCCATCACTACCAAAGTTTAAGGCATAGGATAGTTCAATTCCAGGCATGAAACAATTCAAACATGCCTTTTTCAGTGCTTTTAAGTTAATTGATGAAGATAGCAAGAAACATGATCTGTAGGCAGCATGTCGTGGCGCAATAGTTCGCAAAAAAGTTACGGAACTCAAGCTAACCGGTGGGCGGAGGATGTTGATTGAGGAAGATCGACGAGATAACGTTAAGGATGAAGTCGAAGAAGAAGAGTTGGTTAGTATAGTCGCGCTACTTATAAGTTGAGAAACCGTGTACACTCAACTGTGAGATTTTACTGGCAAAAAGATCAGCGCTGGTTTTAGAAACCACCAATAAGTTTTTAAATTATTCTCTTAGATGGAAGGAGCTATACCAAGGCAAGTCTGCAATTACTCTGGAGTTTTGCTGCAGTTTCTTTTTTTCGAATTTAAGATCGAATTTTCTCTTCATACTCATCACTCTCCTTTATTCGCACCTGATGCATTTTCAAATATTTTGAATTATAACTAGCGTTTACTCAAAGGACCATTCCTGGTTCAGGTTGGAAAACTTTTTGACTTTCTTCCATCCGATTCTGGCTTGGATTACACTGGCAATGATTTGAGCACAAGTACCAGGATCACTTCATTTTATCCTGTAAGAGAGTTTCTAACACCTAAGAAATGTCTAGTCGTTATGAATAAAAATCAATAGCATAAACAGTGGAAAGCGGGAATTTTCGTTCAGGTTCGTACCAGTCGGAAGAACTACGACTTGGAAAAGTACCAATTTGGAAAATTTGCTGCCACTTATTTTCAATCACAAGTCTCCTGCTCACATTCGAAGAAGCCTCTGAAGTCGTCCCTTCTAATCCACGAAGATAAAAGAACTCAACTGGTGAAACAGAAGATACTAAGAACTGCAATTAACATGAAGCTATGCGGCACTATTGCATGGAACGGACTTTCTTCTAGGCAGCGATGGCAGTTTGGGCAACCATTCTTCGGTTTATGGGAGATATGCCTGATGTGGAATCCACCTCAAACGGAAATGATGCCCAAATGGTTGCGTATCTCAATATCTCAATATTCTTTTGATGATTACTGTTCTTGAGAAACCGAAATAGATTTCATTATTTAGTCTGAATGAAACGTTAAAAGAATAAGCAATACCGTCGTAGGCAATATACATTGTGTTGTGAAGAAAGTATCAGTGATTTGTAAGTCTCTGACTAATCACATTTAGGATAAGACTCCTGTTATGAATCGCTTGTTCAAAACTCTTGGACGGAAACCTCATGCCCACGTCGTAGAAGGAACCGCAGTTTCGGAAGAATTTGACACAGGCACCCGGACTCTGAAAAACAGTATACGAAATAAGCTCATTTCGATGACCATGATGAGAAAAACGAGATCGTCGGGTGCGTCTAGCTTTTTGTCGCTATAAGGAGGTTAGTATAAAAGTAGAAGATCGCAGTCAAGATCGCAAATAGTTAAGGTTTTCTCCTAAACGATTTAAATCAGAGTAGCTACCAAATGTGTATCGAAGTGCTAACTGTTTTTAGATCCAGGTGTAAAAATAGTGGGGTATTTTGCACAGCCGGCTACAGAAAATTCAAAACATAGGCTAAGGACAGTTTTACTAATCCAAATAGGAATCTTTATTGACTTCACGTTTTTGTTAACAAATAGCAAATTCCTTCCTCGCCTAAAATGCTTGCGTTCTGAACGCAACGGAACTCCTCGGAAGCAATTTTGTCAGTTTGTTCATTGCCGAAGATTTTTTCCTCGGTGGTAGCTGTTGAGACTCTTGAAGAAGTGGTTTGGTAGGCAACTGATCCGATAACCAAGCTGGATGTCGCAAGGTTCACAAACCAATTCGTTCAGGCTCTTGCAAGGTGTAGTTGAGAATTGTCGTGCAAAAAGCCCTTGCACCTTATCGTTAATGGAAAGGGTACAGTTTTATGAATTTCACTAATTTCGTAGCAATCTGCATGATGTGGGTTTTGTGGTGCTTCGCTTCTACTGCAGTTGGTTTCTCGTTATAATTAACATTAATTGCTCTCGATTACTTGAGAAGTTAATGAGTTGAAAACCTCACAGGCTTATGGAGATCATTTGGCCTTGAAGCTATATGCAGTCTTCCTAGAGCAATCTTTCAATAGAAATTTTTTTTACCTAAAATTTTCAAAAAGCTAGAGGCAAAGTCCAAATTTCGTGGGCTTCAGAAAACCAGAATTTCATCGTTGTGGAGCACGAGATTTTATCCCTCGTAGGCGAAGATCTGTGTGTTCTAATGGTCCTTATTTCAATTAGTACCGCTCTTTCTGAAGTAAGATGTGTTGTTTTGAATGTAATCAATGTATTTTTCATTGATGAGCTAGTACGAGGTTAATAAAGATTTGAAGTAAATATAAATGTAAGAAGGACGTGTGTAGCGCACTGGTCGGAAAAGCCCTGCAATATACATGGGACCGATCCACCGCCCAAGGCTCAATTTGTCTGGGAGGATAGTAGCACTAGCTCGATATATCGGTAGGCAACTGCCAGTCATTGTAAAGGCCAGATGTGCATTCAATCACCTCCAACGATGCTTAATGAAGTCGAATGAATGGCGCATCCCTCAGAGGTTTATCAAAGTTGAGAGCTTTACTCTTTATCATTTCATAAATTTATACAAAATTAAAAGTAAGTAGTAACATTAATTATTGTATTCTTTCTTTGATGAGCTTACACGAGGTTGATAATGATGTTTATTTTCGGCTAACGTTTCGACGTCTTCGTCTTCCTCAGAGCCGATGATATTAATTATTGTATATTATCAGCCTCGTATTAGTTAATCAGTGACCAAACTCACTGAACATTTCGTCATAGTGAGGTTAAATAAAATTCGGCAAAAGTGTTGCCCAAAAAATTGCAAGCACCCACTATTCTTCAGCAAATGCATTGTACAGAATGCATAACGGAAACTATGCGTTTAGAAGCTCGCTTGAAGCAGTCGAATATCATTGTAGACAAAGGGTTAAAAACAGTGCGTCATGCCAACAAGTTGACTACTAGGCAATATTGTGGAATGCGGTAACACCATATGCAGTGAAAATCCATAACTTCTTGCCGTTCGTTATTTTTGAACACGAAAATAAATAAAGAAATAAATAAATAATGAAACAAAGAGAAACACAGGAGAATATTATTGCTGTATCAAATCTAGTTGCTTTTAGCAGGAAACTCATCATCTTCATCAGGTGAACGTTCCTCAACATCGTCCTATTTACACAATGTTTTTATGGAGAATAGTCCTATGAGTTCACTGGATAAGTTGCATTACATTATTGGAATGGGAATACTCATAGAAGAACTCAGGTAGACAGTGATACTTTCACTTTTCAGTAACCTTTTACTTGCCATTAAGTCTGAGTTCTAAATAGCTGGAAATTATACCTCTTGCTCTGCTTCTTCAGAGACGAGATCTATTGCCAACTATGTAAGCAACTATCTTCAAACCCGTCAAGGCTTTCAGCCGCTCGTGGATGGATCTTGCTCTCGTTGTGTGTCGGTTGTTTCGCTCCCAGTCCACGGTGATTTTTTATTACCATTATTGGAACCACATAATTCATGAAACTGTGTCATCTTTATAAAAACCCATCGAAATATAATTAGCCGAAGGTGCTGCGTTAAAGACCAGTAAAAACCCATAAATTAATACTAAAAATAGTCCGTGATGCTGGCAACGCTAAATTTTTATGCACTCATTCTATATCCACATCCTGCAGCCTTATCGAGAGATTTGCATCTCAGATTCATCAAATATTTGTACTGCTTCATTCGAGAACATGGTCCTGCTGACGCAGGATACTCTGCGTACATGGAGGAACGACTGAAGCGAACTGAGCAGAATGGTTGTCGCCGTCAGCCTCCTAGCTATGTTGAGCTGCAGGTAGAATGATTTCTATCGACTATGTAAAGTAACGGTTACACTTGGACGATCTTGTGCTCAATGGGACAATCATGAGCTTTTTTTAAACAGCTTTCAAGATCTTGAAATTATTTCATCATTTACGATCTGTTATTAATAGTTAAATGTTATTAATAGTATAGGCCTACATAGCTACACTTCATACCATAGAATAGAAAAAAAATTGCAGGTAATGGCATCGATAAATGTTTAGAACCGTAGATTGATGAATAAAATAGATAGCTTCAGGCCAATAAAGCAAAGCAGCAGATCGTGCTTACTGTTACACTGATGGACGGCTCGGTAAAAACGCTAAATGCGGACAGCGCTACCACGGCCGGCGAGCTTTGTACAGCCGTTGCCGAGAAAGTCAACCTCAAGGACAAATTCGGCTTCAGCCTTTATATTGCTCTACTTGATAAAGTTAGTTTAGTTTACGATACTTTTTTTGGAAAAGCTGTTTATTTCACTTGACGATATCAAATCTCAGACTACTGTTAATGCTGCGCACGAGTCTATAAAAGTTTCGGTTATCATAAACTTTTGTAAAACGACAGATTTTTTAAATCGTCTTCTACCACTGTTTTCTTCTCTGTTGTTGTGCATAGCCCATTCTACGCTCCCGAGGAGGATCTGTGAGTACAAACTCACTTCCACTCTTTGTTTGGTTTACAAAAACGCACGTGCTAATGCAATTAGTTACAGCATATCTTGTCAAATTTTGCAGCATGTACCTAACTACCTTATAATGCAATAGTATATCTTGGAGGTTCCGAAAATAAGTGTTCGTTTAAGGCCAAGTGTACTCCAAGGAGAGCCATCTTTTGAGGAATTTGACTTCTGGTCTGTACCGAAATTGCTCATCGAAAATATTTATACCACTTTCCAACGGGCACATCTCTATAGTATTCAATATCGTCTTCCCGGTATTCTATCTAAGCCGACTATTCAGCGTTAGTCTTAAAATCAATTACAGGTCTGCTCCCTCGGTTCTGGCGTTGACCACGTAATGGACGCGATCTCACAGTGCGAGCAGTACTCTAAAGAACACGGTTGGCAAGAACGGAACGCACCCTGGAGGCTGTTCTTCCGAAAGGAAATCTTCACTCCATGGCACGATGCTAGGTAAATAATCTTTTACCTAGATACTAAAATAACCATTTAGAAAAAAGAATTCGCCACTCTATGCCAATGACCAGGATCACGATCATTGCTGGTGGGTGGAATGGGCAGCGTCTAGTTAGAAACAACAGGATTTCCTGGTCTTGGTCTTGTGCGGTATCGTTTGTTCTATGATATGTGATCTTGGATTCAAATAGGTGACATACTGTCTACCAAATAAAATTTAGACGTAAAAGTCGAGATAACGCTTTGTTGTTTACACATTTCTTTCTGGATCCCATCATCACCGTTCTGAACGATTTCGTCACATTCGTCGGTGATCTTTTGATGTCTTCATCTCCTTAAGATTGCAAAAGAATAGATCCTACTTATGATCCTAATATAGATCCTAATAGATCCTTATCCATGTAGAACTTTCATGTGCATTTCTAATTTCGACACCGTTCATAGAGAGAGACAAGATTATTCCATCCAGATCTGAATTGTTGTTCAACCCGATATCTGTTCCGTAAAACGTTCTACTACAGCTGTTTTCGTCGACCTCGCTGTTCACGACGTTTTTCTGCATCGAGAAACTTCTTCGAAAATCTTCAAGCGTTCTGTTGGACCTAAATTGGCAATAGAGATTCCAGCGATGACGTTGTGAAAGTCGTATCTACTGAACTTACTTGGTCCGCACAGAATGCTGTAAACGTTCCCATAGACCTTTTCAATATCTGGACATGTGCACGCAGCTCATGTCTTTAAAAAGGATTGGTATGGTTCCTTTTAGCTTATTTTCAAGCACAAACGTGTCATCTGCGAACGATTTTCGTAAGGTAGATAGCTAGTCGAAGAATCTTCGAGTCCTTAATAAATGATCTTTTGGCGCCGGAAATCTGTTGGCTACCTGTTATCATCAGAAGCTGTTGTTCAAACTATATATTGCCCTATCTTAAATTCTATTTACTTCCTGTTTTTTATTCATGACGGAGTACTATGTGAAACCTAGCCACAATCATGCTGAGATATGAGCAAAGCCCGGAACTCCCTTCTGCTGTCTATGCCTTACCACCCCACTGTTGGGCTTCCAACATACGATGATCTCTTCTGTGGGCTCATGTGTTACCCATTGCACCAGCCGAAGCCTTTCCTTTTCCTTTCTCTGAGCCACTTTGTTACTCTTTTGCGCTTTCCAGATCTCGTTGTTTTGTGCTCTGGTCATTTTCGTTGACGGGTGATTGCTGATAGCATCAATAGAGTAAGAATATTATTGACAGAAAAGCAAAACAAGGACCTCAGTGGTGTAGTGGTTAGCACGTAAGACTCTGTAGGAGTAATCGCTGGTTGGAAGGTCAGCTGATGTTCGGAATTTTTCTGATGTCTCAGCATTTTTCTACTTTTTAATCACCTGCCACCTATTTTTCTAGTCTCACCATTAATCGTTGAGTATCAAGAGCGCGAAGGGAAAGTCTTTAGTTATTTGAAGCTATAGGTTTTGTTCGTTGGGTGGAAAGGAGCAACGCGACACTCTTTTTCCAGTTAGATTGTGAAGTCCACAGTTGGTGATCTTTCTTTTATGTTGAAGTGCGGTAGGACCAATCGATAATAGTTTTGCTCACCGAGTTTAATTAAGACTTCATCAGGTATCCTTCACGTCTCATTTCTAAATCTTGCCAAGCATGACAACGTCTCTTCTCCTCGACCATTGACGTGGGTCATAAATTTGAATCCCTCTTTCACTTGTGTTGTCTCAGATACTCCTGACATTACCGTCTGTGGCAAAGAGCGCATTGGAGAATTTACAAACGCGTTAGGTAGTTCTGTTCCCACCTTTTCAACTATGCAATCCTGTTTTCGCCAACGCATACGTTGGAAGCCTGAACACTGTGTAAGCACCATGAAGGATCGATCGCTCTGTGCTACCAAACTAGTAGTGGAAAGCATGTTTCTGGGAGTATCCTCTATTTCCATAGTTGCTATTTATGTCGACGATTAAAAATCGTAGTCGTTACCAACGATTTGATTCTATGGAAGTTTTCACCTTAACCACTACGTGGTCAAAGTTCTTTGTGGGAATCCTAGAAAAAAGTATAATTCTACTCGAATCACTGGAGCGAGCGTATACCACCGGAGAACATTTCTACGCGGAAGAAACAAGTAAGTGTTTTAATGGCTCCCATCAACACAAGAGGTACAAGTAATAAAAATGATGAAGACTTTACTGTCCTCTCATCTAAACTTTTCATGAACTTTCAGCCACATCTATTTTTGCTTAAAGGGATAAGTAAAGCTCAGCGTTGATCAATCTCTGAGGGATGCGCCATGCATATTTCTGGTTATCAATGTTATTATTTTATCATATAGAGAGGATCCGATCAGCACCAATCTCATCTACCATCAAGTGGTTCGTGGTATCAAATATGGGGAGTATAGATGTGATAAGGTGAGCCGATAATTCTGCATTTCGTATGTTGTTTTTATATACCACCGTTTAGGAGGACGAATTGGCATCACTGGTTGCCCAGCAGTACTACGTTGAGGAAGGACCGTTGGATGTGAATCGTCTAGAGAACCAAATTCACAACTATTTGCCTGATTTCGAGTTGAGAGGGAAGGAATTTGTCAAAGAGCGCTGGACACAAACCGTTATGTACCATTACAGAAGGGTGCGTGAATGTTCTACTTAGATGTCATGCAAATCAAATGAAGGCAGTAAGTGATAAGTGGACAGTTAGTCGTTATTAGTTATCAGAGCCCTGATTAAACCCACCATGGTCATTGGGAGTAAGACACAAACTTGCTTACTAGTCTCGAAAAAGCAGTATTTGTTACTGTAATCCCATATTCAGCTTTTCTCTACTTAGAATTTCATTTCTTCTAACGGTTTACCGTTTCCTAAACCAGCAAACTCCGAAAAGTGGAGATTATGATGGGGCCAACACAATCAGTGAGGACGTGTCCTCCAAATATCCAAGTATCCAACTAAGAGTTTCAATACGAGTACAAATCATTAGTTCGGCGTGCTTTTCAGAAATTTGGGAACAATCCGTCTAGTGCTCATCACGTTAAGGAAGATGTCGTGTCTTTCGCGAAATCAAAATGGCCTATGCTTTTCTCAAGGTAATATTCTTTTACCTCTTCGAAGATTGTGCTTGGAGCACATCAGATTTTGTATTACGTAGACCATCGTCATGCTCAGTTGCTCTCCATATAACTTTAAAATACTGTTGCACAGAAAATGTTGTAACTGGCAATCATCGGCTATGTGAAAGTTCCAGTTGAGAAAAATTTGACGTTTTAGTTTATTTATTGTGAAAGTGATTCACTGTGACAGAGTGTGGTGGCAGTTTATAAATTATATTTCCAGTGCCACATATGGTTCAAAGTTACTCACAGGTTCTACGAAGTAGCGAAGTTCTCTGGTCGTTCGTTTGCAAGGAGAGAAGTCATCATCGCGGTGAATTGGATGGGAATCTATGTTGTAGATGACCAAGAGAATATTCTACTTGAGTTCAGCTATCCTGAAGTAACACGAATCGTGCATTATGAGTACGATTTCTTTATAGCTTTTTCTATTCCAAATAAAGCTCCCTTCATGTGTAGCAATTGTTGATGAGAAGTTCACGAATTTTTGCACTATTATTTTAGATGTGGAAGACCTGGAGTCGACATAGGTACGCTCCAAATGGCATCCCGCGATGAGTATTCATTTCAATCCTCTAGTGCAAACGACATCAAGGACGTGGTTACGACATTCCTTAATGGTTTGAAGCAGAGAAGCCAGTATTTGGTAGCCACCAAGAGCCAACAAAGAGACGGTTGGTTGTTCTCGACAGGTTGGCGAATTGGTTTTGACTAAATCTCTCTCCAGACTCAAATGATCTCCTTGAGTTCGAAACCGGTGATCTCTTGATATTGATGAATGGTCTACGCGGCAAGGATCTTCTAAACAAGACCTCTGTGAAGGTAAGACGTTTTTAAAAATTACTATTTAGTAGCTTCAGGAGACTATAGAGGGTTAAAGTCGGACCAAAAATGGCTTTTTATTTGCCCCGAAACGTAGAAGGATTCATAGGACGGCCTTCTTTCTTTGTCGTGCTTTAGCAACACATATTTTTCTGATGTGTGCAAACATATAGATGCTCTGCTTGCATATAAGCAGATTGTATCCTGCATGCTAATTTGGCCAAATTCTCGTAACCGAGTGGCTGGAAGGTAGCGTGAGCAGTTGAGAGACCGAAAAACCACGGAGGACTATATTTAACCTCTACAGCATAACCAACCTTTCGAGCAAATCGTCGGTGGTATTTTAACAAAAAACCGTAAAAGGGGTCATCGGAAAAGCAGAATGCTCTCCATGTTCCTTGAGCAAGCGGAGTCCAATGGATATTTTTAGCACTTGAAAGGGTTTCAATGGAAACCTAACTGGTTTTTTTTTTTGCAGTAACAGGATGATTAATGGGTATAAAATTAATGTAGGCTGAGTAAAACCGGTGAGCAAACTAATGGACAATCCGAGTAAAAGCACTTTTAGGGTGAGTGTTCACGGACATGCCTACAAGGAGTCATTTTGACGAAAAATATCTATGTGCTGCCTACACTAGTGAAGCCAAGCCACAACATCATGGTATGCTATGGCAAAGCAAACACTAGAATCTACTGTAATCTGTCACTCTTGGGTTTTCAATGTCTGAGGAAATTTTTTTGACCTTGTACTAATGTCCTTAGCTGTTTTTGAAAAGAACTGCTTAGAACTAGTACTCATTCACGACCATGTAGACGAAGAAAATTCACTTTTGTTGAGTTGACGCTTTCAAAACATTATATCACATATTCGTTTAGCAACTCTTCTTAAAAGACGAACAAACCTCCTTGGATATCCTCAACAACAACCAGTGTTTAGTGAAGCAGGACATAACTCGGCCGCATAGCTTAGAGCAGTTTGCGCTTAACAACTTCAGGTGGTAATTCTTCAGAATCCTGATTGTAAATTTGTGATCAACAAGAACCTTGATTGTTGAAGCTATTCAGGCCTAAAGACAGGAGTTCTTCTCTTACAGATCGCCACCACTGTCGCCCTCCACTCAGCAGTCTCTAACTTTGCGACGGCGAGAAATAGCTGTTTCACGCCGATGGCGATTTGGTCGCGAACCGCTTGATGTGCCACTTCTGAAAAAGCTTGAAGGCAGGTCTGTCAGTTTCCACCGAAACCAAACGGTATTCTACTTTCAGTAAAAACCTGACTTCACTTGGTTATCTGGGATAGTGGCTAGAGTTTATCAAAACAGGCGAATAGTTGTCGAAGACTTCATTTTGTAATTAATTTTGCTAAACGAAAAAAATAGAATATCGCTTAAGTGAACTTCCAGCATCTTATTGAAATGGTAGCTCATATTTACAGTACAGAAGTTTATGGTTTTTTAGAATGGGAATTGCAAGTTTTTTCTTAAGCGTCTTTCTTCCAAATTTGTAGACTATGCAAATTGAATTAGGCGCTATCCTCAGTTCTGTTGAATCTTCTTAAGTGCAGGAAGGAACAATGCCGGGATGCAGTCACGATGTTCGTGTTCGTGATGAAATACATGGGAGACCACCCGTCAAGAAGAAGTCACCTTGGCACCGACCTTACGGACGTCATTTTCAAGCCCGCTATTACCGATGTGCGTTGTTGTTACACCTTACAAAATCTTAGGAACTTATAAAAAAAATAAGAGCAAATTATCGGTAACGAACTATAAACTGCTATTTGGTGACGTGTTTATCTAAAATGGAAGGGAAAAATTTAACTCGAGAGATGAGTGCAATTATAGAAATTTCATGGTTGCTATGAATACTCGTATGAAATGCTGAGTTATTTGCAAAACTCCGGACCACAGGTGTATGCAGTGGGGAACGAACACGCGCTGTTGTCCTTACCGGGGAGCAGCGCACTTCACCACTACACCAACCGGGTCCCCGGTAAGGACAACAGCGCGTGTTCGTTCCCCACTGCATACACCTGTGGTCCGGAGTTTTGCAAATATCTCAGCATTTCATACGAGTTATATTTCACAACATACCCTGCCATTAAGAAGAAAAAGGCAGTAAATAAAAGAGTTAAGATTGTACCAATAATCTTCACGGAAAGTTAACTAATTCATGGTTTCGAGTTTACCGCGAATGCGCTGCACAACGCTTGGATTGGACGCAATGCTCATGGTTCACGTTACCTTTCCAGAGCAGCTTATTGATCATCGCTAGCAGAAGGATCACGAAGGACATACCTCTGCACAATACGTTTCTGTGTTTCTGTCAAGAACGGCCATAAATGGCATACTGAGCTCTGCTGTGAATCACGTTTACTCTTATCTTAATTTCCAGATGAAACTGTGGAACCCCCTTCAGTTCAAGAGACTGGTTGATGATGGACCTCTCTCTGCACATTGCAATTTGCAACACCCAAGGAAACTCCCAGCCGCGAAGATGGATGAACTATATTAAACGAAGCCGCGAGTTCCTTAATTAATGCATGGCTTGAAACCATGAAAACATAAGTGGATTACAAATAGACTGATATACCTGATGCTTTAAACACCGACTGAAAGTTATGCTGTTCGAATAACACTTCAACACTAACGTCTTCAATCGCTGGAATAAGATAATTCGGGTCCGTCAGTACTATTCGAGAGTTATCCGTGGAATATGACTCAAATACATGGCTCCAAATCTGCTCTTCAACGTCAGGGTTAACTATAACAAGGAATTTCTTTACGCCAGTACTAATAACACAGTTTTATGAGGTAGAAGCTACCTAAATAACCTCTTTCGAACGGAAGAACATAAAATAACCCCGTTTTATCACTGCATTCGAATTGCTCTTCGGCGACAAACTCCCGTTTCCGATCTGCTTTCGCTTTGACAATACAGTTTGGTATGAGCCTGAAGAACTGGGGCTAACATATCCCTCACGCGGACGCTTCTACTGTCATAAAGTGGTACCTCGGCTCAATGTCACGGCTTGTTCCAATTTTCATTGTATAGCCACCATTATCAAGAATCACTGTTTCTAGTGACATTCTTCCTGACAAAATTAGCTCGTTCTCGTAACAAAAATATGAATGACTTCCCAAGTAGAATGCGGTAGTATCCACAATGCACATAACAAAACTGACACCAAAATCTCTTTATTTCAAGCTGAATGGTCTGCAGTTTTATGGCGATCACAGCGGAGATATAAGGCCGGATACATAATAGCCATCAAGATGGGTATGTTAAGACAGCAGATTTTACTGCAAGATGTGTTAGTGGATAACCACTGACTATGAATCTATATTCAATAAAGAACTGGAACTTAAAAACAATGTTAGAAGAAGACTTCGATTTCAAGACACCTCGAATTGACATAATGGGAACAATGGACTAGGGGTTACCAGTATAGAAAGAACAAGGATTAGTTATAGTTACAGTGGTACGTGTTCAACTGAGTTAAAGAATTTGCTGCTTCATGAATGTTTTGAGACTGGCAAACTGTTGATCCCGTTCAACAATATCAGCTATTGGAGTCCAACTTCGATCCGATTCTAATCGATAAGAAGCAACGTATTCCTCAGTTTTCTCTGATTTACCCCATTCATCTGGAGCTAACAGAGAAAAGTATCTTAAAAATTTAATCTTAATCACTAACTATAAATATAAGAGACTGTAATCACTTTCTATCTACTAGCTATTCTTTTTCCATGGCCGAGTATGATGTGAAATATGACTATAATGGGGCTAGGATATTTGCAAAACTCCAGACCTCAGAGAGCTTTCCTCTTAGCCAAGCGTGTCTGGCGAAACGAATGACCTACATGGTGTGGCAGTAACGCGTTAGCTCCCAGAAAAGGTAATAACGTGTCCGATCCCTACTGCTGAACACTGCCCTCCGGAGTTTTCCAAACATCTTAGAACCATTGTGGTTATCACAGAACTTCCACTTTGTGAGGTTGAATGGCGGTTTAGAAACACCTGTATCCATCTTTCCTTTTGTATAGATGGTATATACGTCCAGGGTATTTCTGCATATTACAGGCCACACTGTGTAATTCTTCATCTCTTTTTGCCTCTTCGAGTACATGAATCGCTGCCTAAAGAAGTACAAATTGTACCTATAAATTCCACCACACTAAAAGGTCGGCAAAGACCACCCTACGGAGTTGCTCCATCTGTTCGGCAATAGTTCGAAGGCGATCGAAAGCCCTTCCTTTTACAAGTTCACTGCATAACATCGCAAATTTCAGTTGTAGATAATAATACATACTTTGGATCTAGATACTTTTAACACCGTCATACTGACCGAGCGGAAACCAACTGCTGCGCCAAGGCCACTAGATCGTCCGGAGAAACACTATCGCTGTTAGACTCTGAGATAACCAGCCGTGAACCGTCTCCACGAGGCGTCACCAGCTCCACTTCCACTTAAAAATAGCCTGTTTCCAGAAAAGTGGTAACTATATGAAGAATGAGCGAACTTAGCGCATCATTACTACAGGTTCCCCAATCCTCGTGAAAAAAAACACACGCCATAGCTAGGACTACAAGCTCCCACTACACCGGTGCTTTTCAAAATCTCAAACAAATCCTATTCGCTCTGGCCCATAATGCAAACAAAATCCTATAGTGCCACTCATTTAATATCAAGATCCAAGACTCAATAATATTTTCCATAACCAACTAGACACAACATCATGGACAACTAGAGTGAACCTTCTGGTAGAGCAACCAAGCACGTTCACTATGGTCCACATAACGTCCCTAATCAAGTTTTAGCAATAACTCTTCTACTTCAACCATTTCTAGTACCAATATTACCATTCTGATTCTCCAGTGGTACCTTCACGACGGCACTAACATCTGCATGCATCGTACAGTACACCTGTTGTGAAGACAACTTTTAAAACAAGCTCTCAGCTGGTTTTTCACCGTTAAATATCTCACAATCGAAGTATCGATTTATTCGAAGGACAAATAACACAAAGTACTTTTATTATAACAAGATAAACAAGATACGTCCTGATACACGATATACTCAGAGATTAATACTCTTCTCCATCCTCGTATACACCTTCGTTAGAGTCGACCCCGACCTGAAACAAAACTGTTACAAGACACTTCAAGATTACTGCACATAAGAAAATAACGCAGACCTCTTCGTAATCCTTTTCAAGAGCAGCAAGGTCTTCACGTGCTTCACTGAACTCGCCCTCTTCCATTCCTTCGCCAACATACCTTAACATCTATCAATAACAAAAACAAATTAAAGACCGCATCCTAGATCATAAGTGTCCTGCAGGTTAAAAAAACTGCAAACACTACTAACATGGGCAGTATGAATATGCTCACCAGTGGACAAAAGCACGCTTCGCGTACATTAGATCAAATTTATGGTCTAGGCGAGCCCAGGCTTCTGCAATTGCAGTCGTATTCGAGAGCATGCACACGGCACGAGGGACCTTGGCTATGTCACCACCAGGAACAACAGTCGGAGGTTGATAATTGATTCCAACCTAAATAAACAGTGATTACATCGCATCACTAACTGGTGAAAGGAACTGCTCATCGCACCTTGAAACCAGTTGGACACCAGTCAACGAACTGAATGGAGCGCTTCGACTTAATGGCAGAAATGGACTGATTTACATCCTTCGGGACAACATCGCCACGATATAAGAGACAAACAGCCATGTACTTTCCGTTACGTGGGTCGCACTTCACCATTTGATTTGCAGGTTCGAAACACATATTGGTAATGTCATTTACGGACAAAGCCTCGTGATATGCCTTAAAAAACAAAGTACGCATTCGTTGCAAAATAACAACTCCAAAGTAACTACCCACTTTTTCGGCAGAAATAAGGGGTGAATATGTTGCCAAAGGAAAGTGTATGCGTGGATAAGGGACTAAATTTGTCTGGAACTCCGTGAGATCAACATTCAAAGCACCTTCGAAGCGCAGAGAAGCGGTGATTGAAGAGACGACCTAAAAAAAAAGGAAAAAACTTACATGCAATAATATAATACATGGCGATTGTACGAAACTCGCAACTACCTGAGAAATAATCCTGTTGAGGTTGGTATAGCTAGGTCTTTCTACGTCCAAGTTGCGGCGACAGATATCATAAATTGCTTCGTTATCAACCATAAAGGCACAATCGGAATGCTCGAGAGTAGTATGTGTCGTCAGGATAGAGTTATACGGTTCCACTACAGCAGTAGACACCTACAAAAACAAACGTTAGTACTACAATATGGAACTTTCTTCAAAATAAACTACAATAAAACCAAACCTGAGGAGCAGGGTAGATAGAAAACTCAAGTTTGCTCTTCTTCCCGTAATCAACTGAGAGACGCTCCATCAACAATGAGGTGAATCCGGATCCAGTACCTCCACCGAAAGAGTGGAATATCAAAAATCCTTGTAAACCGGAACAGTTATCGGCAAGACGTCGTGTTCGATCTAATACGAGGTCGATGATCTCCTGAAAAATTTTCCTTTAATAGCGTAAAATGAACGAATGAAGTTAATACCTACTTTTCCAACGGTGTAATGACCACGAGCATAATTATTAGCCGCATCTTCTTTACCAGTGATCATTTGCTCAGGATGGAAAAGCTGCTTGTATGTTCCACTCCTAATTTCATCTGAAAGAAGCATTTTAGCAACAAATCACCATTTGAAGATGGCCACAACACCACATACGTAAGCATAGCGAAGCTGGAAAGGGACAAATCATTCTAGCGCAAAAAAAACTGGCAATTCAACCGTCGAATCCATAAGTATCTCAGGGCAAGAGTATACATTCTTCCAATAAAAACTTATCCGATCCCAACCGCACTTTCCACGGCGCATTAAAACACAAACTGCGAGCATTTATTTCCTCACAGATAAGGGACAGGCAAACAACGTTTCTGACGGGAAAAGTATGAAAAAGTGCAACTTGACCTACAACTACCCGCCAGGGAGTCACTAGATACTTAGTATATTTCCGCTATGTTCAGCACAGCACAACGTACTAAGTGGCGCTCGCAATTCAGCATGCTTCTATAAGGTAAGGATCAATACGAGCTTACCAACGACCGTCGGCTCGAGGTCCACCATTATTGCACGGGGAACAAAGCGGCTATTTCCAGTTTCCGAAAAGAACGTGGTGAAAGACTCGTTCTCGTTCTTAGATGGCATGATGCCATCAGGCTGAATTCCATGCTCTAGACAGTACAGCTCCCAGCATGCATTTCCAATCTGCACACCAGCTTGACCAACATGAATTGAAATTACTTCGCGCTGAAAATATCCTCTCTAAATAGATCACTCATATGAAACGATTTCCATAAAAAATGGCTCGAAACAAGCAAACCACTCACCATTGTTTGCTATCCACAATAGGAAGATGGCACCTAAAAACATGAACTAAAAATGGCATACAGAGATGCGTACAACATAATAAAGGCCAACAACGACTAATATTATCGACCAAACAACGAGACAGCGCAATGGGTTGGCAGCGGTGGATACGGACCGCGCGGCCCCGATGAGTCACCGGCTATTTGAACAAGCGGTTTTCGCGCCATCGCGCAGCGTACTGCGACACACCCCACAGTGTGCAAGTGCGATGCGTTATAGGGGCTCCTACGCATTTATTGGCGGAGTCCTAATGGGAACGCGGTACGTGTTTCGAAAAAATGGTAGGTAGTGGTGGGCCAGTAGGAACGGATGGTAGCAGGTATCGTTAGACGTTTGCTTTCTCGAACAATCCGCGTATAGGTTTTGGAACTGATAAACTTATGGAGTGTCATCTCAGCTTAAGGGTTAGTAAACGCCAAAAAACCGCCTGCAGTTAGCTTTGCCGTGTTGGTACAACTAGCAGTAATGGAATACCAACACAAAAGCTGCTGTGGATCGTGATGTTCATAACAAAGGGTAGATGGATGAGCAAGAAGTACAGGAATGAACGTATAGGGACAATACCTACAAATTATCGCGGTGTAATACCTACAGAAACGCTGTTAGGGATCTTAAGGTCTACAAAAAAAAACGTGAACTGATGGGCAATAAGTGCAGGAATAAACGTGCGCTACATTCACAAAGCATGAGACTTCATTTAAAGCACAGAACTTCGTCCTAAACGCCCACGTGGATAGCCCTCGCTTTACGCTAGTTTTGGTTCAATTCAGATTGTTTAGACGAAAATCAATAAAGGACGATAGAGACAGGTCAGAATATCGACGTTCCATGGCAAGAAACCTGTTAGTGATCGCGCCGTAAAGCATTGAAGCAGGACTTCCGATTTGGACATGAAAGCATCAAAGATGGTCAGGGCTGGGAATGGCTCCCATGCAGACGCTAACCAAAGTCGATCCATAACAATGGGGCTGAATACTGATGCGAAAAAGTAGAAGTTTCGGGACACCAGGTTATTTCGAAAGTTAGAGCACCATGGATAGAAAGTGGATGAAGTAAATGGGAGACAGAGCGAAAAAGAGAGACAGAGGCCGAGAGACAAAACCAGAGACGGAGAGACAGATAATCGGATTTGAACGACAGATTTCGCCGCCTATTGATTGATTGTACCGTACGCGATAGATCTGTGCATTGATTAGCCGAAGACGAAAATCGAAACACTTACTAGGGCCAAATTTGCATCACAATAAGGTACTAGTTGCTTTCGTGGTTTTAGCTAGAACTACCCACTAACTCTTGGATTGTGACAAACCGCTAGAAAGCGGGATTTTGTTGGACAAAAGGACCCGCAATGCCTACGACTGAACCGATGGAGCAGTAGAAATGAACCACATGTGCTTCAAGGCAACGCTTAGTAGCACTTCATAAAACTATTTCAAATTTCAAAAACTGAGAAAAAGTCGGTTCCGAAGCTTCACAAGATTCATCTGTACTTGGAATTCTTGGGAACCAACTAATAAATCACTACTTTTTCAAGAATTTGAGTTAGTAAATGAGGCGAAAAGTCCTTAAAAACGAAGCCATTGCTGCCTCTTTAAGAAGTACATGTGCCCCAAAAGGTACCATTTCGGTATGGATTAAACTGCATCTCTTTGGAAGATGGGCGCAGATTATACTTGGATGGTAGCCGCGTGTGGTGCAGTGGTCAGAGGCGCCCTGCAACACGCACATGGAATCGATCCCGTGCCCGTGGCCCACCATGCCTTACATCCCTCCGGGGTCAAAAAATTGGTACCGGACTTATCTGGGAGGATAGCATCACTAGCTCGATACATCGATAGGTTATTGCGAGTCATTGTAAAAACCAGATATGGATTCAATTACCTCCAACGATACTTAATGAACTCGAATGCATGGCGCATCCCTATGGGATTGATCAACGCCGATTGCCTTAGAGCTTTTTACTTCGATGGGCAGTGCTTACCGGTTGTGCGGGCTCCAGCATAACCTCCACTGTTTCGGAGTTTTGTTGGCTTAGCCACTGTGGTTCCCTGGAATTCTGAGGCCAGCAAGGCTACGGTCTGCCCAGGTTGTCACCACCACATGCAGTCGCCGCTCTTGTGGATCGGAGGAAGGTTGCCGCCACGCGACTAGTTTGATCCCAGGACGGTGGTGGATCTTGGTACTGGTTTACTCTTAGCTGACCTTCCTGATGGAAACGCTGGACTCCTTCAGCTTGGGAAACCCTGCCGTGGGCTCAATCCCCTGCTGTACATCGTAGCCTGACATCCAGGAACATCTCTCAGCCACGATGAGGCTGTAAACTGTAGGGAGGCGCAGATTATAATCGTCCTTAAACTGAGGAATAAAATTCACTACGAACTAATACATGTGAGTTAGAAGTTGAGAGCTAAGAAAAGATGTTAACTCCTAGTTAACCTAATAAAACTAAGCGACAGTACTGCAAAACTTTCTTCGAACACGATCAGCACTTGGTGGATCCAGGGCATAGGACGATCTGTCTTAAGTACTGCGTTGGAATTAAACTGAACTATTGATATAATGCGGAAAAAATTAGAAGAAGGGGCAAACAGAAGAAGAATGAGTTGTCGATGGTTCGTAGTGTCTCAAATGAGCGTCTATTTGTGAGCCAGAGACGGCACGCGTCGGTGTATTGAGAACGGATTGAAAGATACACAAGTGGAACCTTCCAATAACGGTGATCTTGTAGGAGGAATTGAGCGCGAATTGGCGGATAGGGATGGAAAGTTGGAAATGAGGGTAGTGGGTGATGAAAAGCCTTCAAAAAAAAGGTTGGTTATATAACTGATGTCTACCCAGTGATAGTTACCCACTCAATTCTCTAACCACTATTGGACTATCCAAAATGTTAACGCTGGCAATCTCTGTAAGGACTATGCACTGAAATCTTGCCTGTACATTGGGAAACAAAAATTGACTTAACTTTTGTTTACTAGCTATTTTCCTTTCAGGCCAAGATGTTATGTGAAATACAACCACAAAGATACTGAGATATGAGCAAAACTCCACATGAGTTTTGAACCCTGACCACTCTTTCCGTTGGCTCACCTGCTACCCACTGCACCACAGAGGCACCTGCTTTGGCTTTCTCTCAGAGAGCTTTTTCCCTAACTGTGCTATCAGTAGTCGACCATCGATGGGAATGATCTTGGGAGCACAACTGGGCGTTTACACACGCTTACAGGGCCAGTTACAAGGCTTAAGGTTCTAAAATTTCCAACGATCGTGCAGTAATTCAAAACACTTAAGGTACGTTAGGGAACACCATAGTTTCCTTTAAGACGAAACTCCGGTTGTTCAACTGCTTGCATGCTCTGAATACGCTTTACTGGCTTGAGGAAATAAACATCTAATTTTGGTAAAGGACAAAGCTAAAGCTCTAGGCGTTGATCAATCCCTAAGAGATGTGCCATGCATTCGACTTCATTGAGCTTCGTTGGCGGTGATTGAATGCATATCTGGCTTTTACAATGGCTCACGGTGGCCTACCGATGTATCGGCCCAAGGATGCTATCCTCCCAGCCAAATCTGATACCAGTTTTCCGACCCGGAGGGATAGGAGGCTTGATGAGTCATGGGTGCGGGCGATTCCACGTATGTGTCGCAGAGCGCTTCGACCTCCCGAATGCGCCACACGCTCCCTTCTAATCTAATTTTGGTAGTCTAAGAAAACTCGAATCTTGTGGGGAAAGAAGTATTGATTTTAGCGGATTCTGTCTCAAGTAATAAATTTCAAGGTAGCGGATAGTGATCCCGCTCACTATGGAGAGGACCAAACCTAACACGAACCTTTCATTCTTCCTGGATCTGCAAATTAGAACCCGACTTTTCTGAGACATGCTCGCTCTATAATCCACATGGAAACGCCCTAGCACGGTAATCCCAGGATTCCAGGTAGAGTATAATCGACAAATACTCAGAGACATTCGTAACGAAGACAAAAAAAAACCAAGCGGCATCCAAACCGCAACCCAAGAAGGATTTGAAGACCTTCGTGAATGGTGAATGGTGTTCGGATCCGCAAAGTGTGATACACGTGATGGCGAACCATCTAATACAAAAATCAATAATAAATAGAATTCAAGGTAGAAAGACTGGCTGAGAGAAAGGCAGATGGAGGGGCCCAGTGGTGCAGTGGGTTACACGTGAGCCTCGGAAAGGGTAGCCGCGGGTTCGAATCTAGTATAGGGCCCAAGTTTCGGAAATATCTCAGGATTACTGGGATTTTACCTCGTACAGTATCTTGCCGTAAAAAAGTATGGGCAGTAGGTAAACGGTTGAACACGCTGATGATCAGTTCTGAAAACTTTTCGACGTCAAAGAATATGCTTGCGTTCTAATATTTCCGATCCTATGCCTACTTTAGAAGGCTATTATATGTGCTAAACTATGTAGTCCACACTATCAAAGACTAAAACCGGAAGCCCAGCCACCTTGGGGCAGCAATACGGGACCATCGGTTCAATACGACGTCAGATAATGTGTATTGACCGCAGGCTGATTCTATGACGTCTGAATTCTCGGATGTCGATGGTACTACTCGCTAGTTACTTCTTCTGCCGGACTGAAAATAATCCCAGAGTACTTATTCTGGGTAGGAGAAGATCGTAAACTTTCAGTTATGTTAAGACATGTTGCTTTCTTCTATAATTCTTTTTTCCTTCCTTTTTTCCTTCCTCAAGCTTGCATTTCGATCTTTCATTTACTTTTTAGCCAATTCTTTGAAGTGATGTTTGTTCTTTCAGTCATAAATGGCAGACGATGGTTATCGTCCGCGACCTCCACAAGGTGAGATTTGGCTAAAAAGTTTTTAGTTTGAGTGTGTAGTCTCGTGTTGCCGTACAATTTTGCCGAAGGTGAAAACAAGGGTCTAAAATGTTCAACACATATTCTTTACGATTTCCTATGTGTGTAAAACCAAAGTGCTCTCAACAGTTTACCGCCTGATCTGGCTGGGAGGTGTTCTTGAACGTCCGACTGCGATGTACAGCAAAGAATTTATCTCCCCAGCAGGGTCTCCCAGGCTGAGGAGTCCGGCGTTTCCATCCGGAAGCCCAGCTTAGAGCAGACCGATACCATATCCACCACCGTCCTCGTAACGAACTAGTCGCATGTTGACAAATCTTTCTCTAATCCGCAAGGGTGGAGACACTTTATGGTGGTGAAGATCTAGGGTAGACTTTGGCCAGGCTGACCTCGGGACTCCAGGTAAACACAACGGTCAAACCAGCAAAACTCCGAACAATGGAGAATATGCTGGGGCTCGCACAGCCAGTGAAGACAGGTCGTCCCAGTATCCAAGTGAGTGTAAGAGAAAAGCAGTATCTAACTTACTTAGATATTTGGATGGTCCGTCTTCACGAGCTGTGCGGACCCCTGCACATATGCCATTCGTTCCTTTCTCTCGCAGTCGTAGTCCATGGTGGTGGTCTTGTTCGAGCATGATAGTGCTTGCGAGTCTCATACCGTGATCTGTAAAACAACTGAAGCTGCGGGTACAGCTGACTAACTTTGTTTACGAACACGTCCATCCAACGCGTAGGTGGTCGTCCAAGGGGACGTTTTGCATTCTCTTGGAGTCCACTCTATTGTTCTTTTCGTCCATCTGTCTTCTGTTCTTCTCATTATGTGACCGAGCCATCTGTGTTTCGCTGTCGATGTATATTCTTCTGGATCTCGAAGATGTGACAGATTTCGAAGGTCAGAGCTTCGCATTCCGGCTACATATTGAGAGTGCCGGTTATATTTCAGAAAACATCGCTCAAGCGCTCTGTAAGCAGTCGAAGCATTCTTGACGTAGTTGAAGTATCAACCCACATCTCTGCAGCATAACAGAGCGCTGGGAGGACCGTAGAATCAAAGAGATGAGAGCGGATTTTCGGGTACAGTTGGTCCGTGGCTTCTCTGAGAGGCCTGAATGCGACTCAAGCTGCTCTCCTTCTTCTATCTAGTTCCTCCTTCATGTTGTTTTCCATGCTCATTGATCGCCCAAGGTAAACGTACGAGGTTGTCTCTGCAATAAGAGAGCCATCCAATTCAATTTTTTCGCCTTCGCACCATGGGTTTTTCATGAATTGGGTCTTATTTCGATTTGTGTGAAGTCCAATCTCTTTCCCCGCTTCGTTGAGCTCGTTGATCATCACCTCTGCTTCGCTAGTACTTCTTGAGAAGATGACAATGTCGTCGGCAAAACGGTTTGATAGGAATTTTCCATCAATACGTGCGCCTTTCTCATCCCAATCGAGTAGCTTCATTATCCACTGCAGTGCGGCACTGAACAGCTTTGACGATTTTGTGTTCCCCTATCGAACCCCTTTTCCTATGGGTATTGTAAGAGGTCGAGGGAAAAGCTGTATTTCGTAGTGCAGTTCTGATAATAGTCGGACAGAGTTCTTTTGTAGAACGGGTCCACTTCTTGGTCGACGAGCGCTGATAGGATTGCATTCGTTTCGACACTGTCAAACGCTTTCTCATAGTCGACAAAGGTTAGGGCTAGAGGCAAGTGGTATTTTCGACAAAATTCGAGGACCCTGGACACGGTTTGGATGTGGTCCATGCAGCAAAATCCTGCTTGCTCGACTGGTTGCGTGTTGTGTTAGTAACGTGTTGCAGTAGGATGAAGCTTCAATTTCCTTCTCTTTTCGAGCAAGTTCTTAGGAGTGATGGAGATGCGATCCGATCTTCTTGCTTAGGAACTGAGGCGAATTCGGCACAGCTTTTCAGTCCTTCGACAAGCAGCTCGTAGTCTTCGGTCGGGTTTTCTTTAATTTGCCAGTCACGTTTGGACAGGGCTTCGTTCAGAATGTTCTCATCGTATACAGCTAGACTTTTTCCTCCTGGTCGATGAAGAGTTTTCCAGCTTGTGACTGAATCGAATCTTAGCGCAAAGAAGGCGGTGATCGGAACCAGTACAGAATGACAGGACTACTGATGTGTCAAGTAGGCACCATTCCCGGTGTATCAGGATATGGTCGATTTCCGTATGAATCATGCCGTTGGGGGACTCCCATGTCCAGCGGCGGCTTTGTTTCTTCTGAAAAAACGAGTTTCCGTGGAAGAGACGTGTTGCTGACAGGAGTCCTGCGAGACGGTTCCCATTTTCATTTCTTTCTCCTAGTCCAAAATTTCTGATCCTGCATTGCTTTGGCCTTTCCTATTCGGCGTTGAAGTCTCCAAAAACAAATTTATGATATGCTTTATCATTGCGGATGGTTTCCTCCAACTGATAGTAGAACGCATTTAATTCGTACTCAACAGCTGCGTCGGTCGGTGAGTAACAATTGATGATAGTTATCTTCTTATGATGCGACCGTAGAAGATGAAGGACGGCTATGCGAGGGGAAAGGATCACGTATGAGTCGACGAGATGAACAATGGACGGACGGACGACAAAGCCTACGCCACCGACATTTCGTGACGGGATCTTTTTTCCACGGATCACAAGGGTCCCGTTGTTTAGTTGGCGTATGTTGGTCTCCTTGGTTTTTGTTTCTTGTAATGCGATCACAGAAAATTTAATGCGATCTGCTTCTACAAGAAGGGCGTGAAGATCATCGGTGTATGTGGAGAGTGTTCTGGCCTTATAGGTGCATAGTGAGAAACAATCTCCATGGTGTATCATGCGTGTGTTCTTCAGATCCGGTTCCAATGACGTCCTGCGTAACCCGAGATTTTCTAGCCTCTCACCGGTCGTCCCACTACCTGACGTCATAGACGGGAGCACGCAGTGTACGGGGTACTGAGGCTGGCCTATTGGTGGTCGTGCAACTTGGTCCTCCCTGGATTCCTGACGTAACCTTGCAAGGGCGTATCCAGGTTTTCGCGACGATGTGGATCAGAGGGAGGTGTGTTTTCGGCGACGAATCCTTTGCTCGGTCTTCCTACTAGTTGATTCGAGAGAAAAAAAAAAACCGAAATCAGAAACGAAAGTAGGAATGTAAAAGTGATCGACCGCTCAAGGACGATGTAGAAACCGAACGCAAAGCAGTGTCTAATGTTTTATTAAAATATCAGCATTTCGTAGGGGCAGTTGTTTTAAAATTTACTTTGTTCGAGTGAAACAGTTGGACATTGATATTGGAATTCGCGTTGTACTACATTATTGGATGTACCTTGATTCCTATTAGAAAAACTTTTCGCAGGAAACATTTAAGTATTGTGCGGAAAATAATGGAACCATTTACATTGCTTCAAATTTTCACTTACTGCATATTCTTTTTCCACGGCAGCGTTTGATGCGGAAATACAACCATGAAGATGCTGAGGTATGATCAAACTCGGAATCTGAACCGGTCTTCGAACTCAGGTCTAACCTTACCGAAGGCTCATGTGTTGTCCACCACACTAACCAGGGCCCTTTGCTTTTCTCTCAATCAGTTTTTACCCGCTATCAGCAATCATCCGTAAGCAGGAATGATCCGGAGAGCACAAATCGGCATTGAACCCATTTAGACTGATGATTAACTTAAGTAAATGAAGAAGTTTGTAATTTCGGCTACATCTTTTGCTTGACTGGGTTCAGTGGCGCTTTTCGTCCCCAGATAACTCCTGTTGGTGAGTGATTAGAGTAATCGATAGAGTAAAAATATGGCTGAGAGAAAGGCGAAGCAAAGGACTCGGGGGTGTAGTGGCTAACACGCGAGACGCCAGGAAGGGTAATCGCTGGTTCGAGGACCACCTGACGTTCCGAGTTTTGCACATGTCTCAGTATCCTTGTGGTTAGAACGGCTACATTATTTATTTATTTTTTTTTGATTAGCAGCGACCTTTATATTATCAGTTCTTTGGTGGCTACAACGCTATTTATACGCTAAAATAGCTCTTTATATGGTAAACTTCTACGTTACCCATCTTAAAATTGTATACAGAGCTATAAAAGTAAAGTAGTGCCCTTGTTGCATGAGGTTTCGCTATGATTTAATTTTCCATGTTGGTATCGCCAATGTTACAATTTTATCGTGTTTGTCCACTTGAATATATTTGGGAATGTATATGTAACTGCCCAAATGAAAAGGTAGAACAAGATTCCGTTCTGAAGAGTAGTAGCGGTTCTTGCTTAAATGTTCTGCTTTACTTTACATATTGTACGTGTCTCAGAACTTCACTTGTTTCGTTATCGTTGCAGTCGTCACCCATGGAGGTTACCTTGTTTACGTCTTCAGTTTTCAGTTAAAATTCTTTCCGATCCTGTTTGGTATGTTTAGGGCAGGATGTTTGAGCCTTATTTTCAATGCATTTGCGAAATTTCAAAGCCAGTGAGTTCGTCTATCGGAGGGAAGTTTGCCTCTTTGCGACCTGTTATTCCGCGGATATTGCAACAATTCATGTCGTCGGTTTTTCTACTGGTCGAGGAGAAGACCTATCTTAACAGTAATAATAAGTAATAAATAAGACTCTGGGGTTTGTCAGTCCTTGAGGGATGCGGCATGCGTTAGACTTCACTAAGCATCGTTGGAAGTGACTAGATGCATATCTGGTCTCTACAATAACTCTCGGTGGCCTACCGATATATCGAGCCAGTGCTGCTATCCTCCCAGACAAGTCTGATACCAATTTGCCGAGTCCGGAGGGATAGAAGGCTTAGTGAGCCTTGAGCGCGGAGATTGACTCCATATGTATTGCAGGGCGCGTCCGAGTACTGCGCTACACGCTTCCTTAAGAACTAGTGGAAAGGTTAAATTTTCATGTGGTGGTTGCATTGCGGTTAGATCCATTTTTAAACTAGTTTTGTCTAAATGTAACTGAAGATCAGGAGGAACTTCTCTTTTGAACCATGATCCCATGTTAATATTCATGTTGAATTTTCTTTGTGGATATAAAATACTCTTTAGATGATGACCTGCGGAACGCTATCGAGCGTTTGGCTGTCTTTGTTGCTAAAAATGGTCCCGAGTTTGAGAAAATGACCATGGAGAAGCAGGAGGGAAATCCAAAATTTGCATTTCTTTATGGCGGACCGTTTAACGAGTACTATCGTTTCTGTGTGGAACGGGAAGTTCAGAATCGTTAGTAATTGACATTGCTTTTTTTCTGCTAACAGAAGCAACTCTGGAGTCTTTCGAGACATTTTAAACCGATTTTCATTTATCTTTAGTATAAATGATTAATATACGTTGTTTCATTGGTAAACTAACGTGGGGTTGCTACCAATTTATTCGGCTAACGTTTCCACACAGTCGATCATCGACTCTGATGAGGACGAAGACGTTGAAACGTTAGCTGAATATTGTTAACAACGTCGTGCTGGCTCATCCATGAAACAAAGTATATTGATCATTTGAGACAATTCTTCACAGTTTTCCAATGGTAGGATTTGACGGTTTTATAGTTCATGGTGGTCCACCACATCATCAAGGAAACGGTTGTATCGTGCCGCCTCCAGTCGATTCAGAGTTTATCAGAAGAATGAATGTACAAAAGGAACAGTTGAAACAACAAATTACTGACAGTGAACGAAATCTGAAAGCCCACCTTGATTCTATCCCGGCGATGAAAGAAGTGCGTTTATACTTTCGCTCGTGATCTTTCCGTCTTGTAATCCAATTCGACAGAAATGTTCAGGCACAAGTTGCGCAAGCAGTGGTTTTATCAGAGTCACAGAAGATGTCACAGATTTTGGCAAATGTAAACTTCAATGTGGCTCCATTGGGGGCAATACTGGACCAGCTCAATTCCGGAAAATGCTCCAAAGATCTTGTTTCGGTCAGACTTATTACATTAAAGTTTTTGCTACTTGATGCCGTGTGGGTAACCCAAAACTTTTTCGTTACAGGCTAGCCGCAAGTGGATATTTGAAAACTGTCAAACCGATCAATTACGTGAGGTTGTCCTCACATATTTGCTGAGCAGGTTTTTCTATAAAATATTCCTTCTGTGTCTGTGTTATTATCACGTCTGATATTACTTCACTTATCTAATGCTTTTTTCAGGGTAAAAGACTCCCATGCCAGCGACAATTTTCGTCTCAATATTCTCTACGTTATAAATGACTGGGCTTATCAATGGTAATCTTTTCTCTGAAAAACCTTGTTGTTCTGTTAACTTTTCGTTTGCTTCTTACTACAATTTTTCACAGCAGGCTGTTACATTTGGTACAACCACAATGATGTTGAGATATTTACAAAACTCCTGATCGCAGGTCTCTGCGGTGAAGAACGAACGCGCTATTACCCTTTGCGGGGGCTAACGCGTTCACCACCACACCATGCGAGTCCTCTGTTTCGCCTTTCTCCCAGATTTCCCCCTTTTCTCGACGGCAGTCTCAGCTTAACTGGATTAGCTAGTTTTCTGTCTAATAGTGCCATAAGCACTCACCCGCCAACAGGATTAATCCGGGGAGCTCAAATCGGCAACGAACCCAATTAAGCTGAGGCTGTGGTCAAGAAAGGAAGGAAATCCGAAAGAAAGGCTAAATGAAGGACCCGAATGGTGTGGTCGTGAACGCGTGAACTCCCAGAAAGAGTGGCAGCGCGTTCGTTCTCCGCCGCAGACACCTGCGGTCCGGAGTTTTGCAAATATCTGAACATCGTTGTGGTTCTATCTTATTGTTGTATTCACGCTTGCTGATTTGCAGCCAACGTAAGCGTCTGGACTCGCAAACTCAAATGTTATCTCGCTATGTGCCGCAAATGTACGCTTTTACTGCGGAGCTATCCACAGATGGTATGATGCAGCAGAAGTTAGACAAACTCATTGGTGTTTGGGAAGGTCACAATTACTTCAACGATCACTGCTTCAAGGTTTTCTCTTCGTTGACTTACTCAGTTTTCTCGTATTTATGTTTCTGTGATGTGACCAATACTTTTCATTCCACAGTTCTTGACTTACTTTTTTGATTTTTCAATAATTCTGGTCTTTAATATTCGAATCACGAACTTTTAATTCCTGACTGGGAAAGTTTTAATGGGTTTTGTGGTTTTTTAATGTGGTATGCCTCCAGTTATTTCAACTTTCTTACTGTTTCCATAGAGATTTTATCATACTTGAAAGTCTACAATCCATATGCTGGGCTTAATAGTCCATTCCACCACGTAATGGGCGCGTGTGGCGCAGTGGTCAGAGGTGCTCTGCAATACACATGGGATCGATCCCCACACTGTAGGTCCACCATGCCTTCTATCTCTCCGAGGTCGACAGGTTGGTACCAGACTTGTCTGCGAGGATAGCAGCACTGGCTGGATACATTGGTAGGCCATCGTGAATCATTGTAAAGACCAGATATGCATTTAGTCACCTCCTACGAAACTTAATGAAGTCGAATGCATGACGCATCCCTAACGGATTAATCAAGGCCGAAATCTTCATCCATCTTTATTTATATGATCTTATAAACTGATCTTCAGCTGCTGCGAGGTTGGTATAGGTCTTCGTTGTCGTTGTCGTTGTTGTTGGTGTTGTTGGTCGATGGCTGACGTTTCAACGATTTCACCTTCCTCAGAGCCGTGTTGTTACGAGTGTTACTGAGACTAAGGAAGGCGAAATTGCCGAAACGTCATCCATCGACCAGCAACACTAACGACAACGACAAAGAAAACCTATACCAACCTCTCATCAGCTAAAGAAGGTCGGTTTATAAGATCATATAAATAAATATATCAACTATCTATGCCGACGTTTATGGAAAGTCGGTCTTTTGAGCTTTATTCTTCTTTTGTCTGCCACATATGGACACTATACTGTCCATACTGCCCTGGACCAAACGACCGAATGGACATTGTACTTCGATAGTTGGATGACCTGTCTTCACTAGTTGTGTAGCATAATTTCCATCCATCGGAGATTTGCTGGTTTAGCCATCGTGGTTATTGGGGCCCGGAGGACAGCCTGGCCAAAGTCTGCCCACGTCGTCATCACCACGGGCAGTCGCCGCCCTTGTGGATCATGCGGAGGTTTGCCACCATGCAACTAGTTTGATAGCAGGAAGGCGATGGAACCTGGTATTGGTTTACTCTTAAATGGGCTTCTTGGTGGAAACGCCTGTCTCCTCAACTTAGGAGACTACTGGGGGATTAATCGCCCGGCCGTCGATCGCAGCCCTGCACCTAGGAACACCTCCCAGTCATGATGAGACGGTGAACCGTTACCATACATGAATACTGTGCTGTGCCTACCTGAGTTTAGTGGGTTCCAAATTTTTTTTTGCCAGCGTGTGTATACTCTTTCGATAACAAATCGAAAGCTCATCAAAATAGTGGGGGTGAGACGAGAAACACCATTTTCTACAATTAATGATTTGCAAGAAGCAAAACGTTTTTTGAAATAGTTGATTAACCGGTAATTTGACCAACAACTAAATGTTATTTCGTTTTATTGTTCGAAACCCCTCAAGGCCTCAGTTTGTTGAAAAACGTTTTTCTAATTGTCAAAAAAAGAGACGTAAACGCGTAATTCGGCTTAGGCCGGTTACGAAATACGGTCGCAGGGACGGAACGGGTTAAGGGATATTGTTTTAAGGTTCTACAATGTAGCTTACTAATACCTAAAATTTGACCTTAGTTTGTTTTGGTCCCTAACTCTGGAACAGAAAATAACTCTTGTTCGAGTCATATCGGGCTGCATTAAATTTCAGCAACTACGAAATCCTGGTCAGATATTCAGCTCTGCCAAAGCTGTTCAGGCAGCTGAATATGCGAAAGTAAGTCCTTATTTGTAATATAGCTGTGTAGTTTTAGCTGAGATATGTGTTGACTTAGTTAGCGGCGGACATTGAAGTAAATCTGCAAGCAATGTACTCTGGATATGAGCAACAGCATAAGAACTATGTACAGCACATCATGCAACAAATAGCTCAGATCGATATGCAGATAGAAGCCGAAAAGGATCGAGCTCGAGGTTTGTGAAAGGTGGTTATGATGGGTGCAGTAAACAATCTATGCCAGGAGTGCAGTTTGGGAAAAAATAAAAGAAAATAAAAGGATGAAGCTATGAATGTTGATCAATCCCTGAGGGATTCGCCATTCATTCGACTTCATTAAGCACCGTTGGAGGCCGCACACGTCATTTGGGGACAGAATGGTCTGTACGAATGTATTGAGGTTAAAGTTTTTTTTTATGTGGATTGTGACTGAAGCTTTTTTCTTTCTGAACTTACATAAAGAAGATATGGAATGAGTATAGTCGTTGGCGTACTCTTTTGCGTTATAGATGCGTTGTAAAAATAAGGCAGAATTTTTTGTTTACTTCACATTGCCAAGGTTTCGTGAAGTGTCGAAATATGTCCGGTTAGTATAACTTCAATGATGCTGGGATATCTGCAAAACTTCGGACCGCAGGCGTCTGCGGTGGGGTACGAACGCGCTATTGTCTTTTGTCGGGAGTAACGCGTTCACCACCACACCATTCTGGTCCTCCGTTTCGCCTTTCTCTCAGATAGTTCTATCGATCTGTACCATCAGAAATAACCTGTCAGCGGGATTGATCTGGAGAGCCCAAGTCGGCAACTAACCCAGTTAAGCTAAGGTTGTAGTTATAATCACAATTTTAGGTTATTGTTTACTGCTTATTCTTTTTTAATGGCAGGATGTATTGTGAAATATAACTTCAGTGATGCTGAGATATTTGCAAAACTCCGGACCGCAGGTGTCTGCGGTGGGGCAACGAGCATGGAACGAACGAATGGTGTGCTGGTGAACGCGTTACTTCCCGGAGAGGACAACTCGTTCGTTCCCCACCGCTGACACCTGCAGTCCGGAGTTTTGCAAATATCTCAGTATCATTGAAGTTATCTTTCGCAGTATACTCTGCTATTGAGTAGGAATAGGCAGTAAATAATAAGTTAAAATTATTCCTGATTAAATTTATAAATTACTAATTGAACTTCATCTGGTTTTCCTGGTATGCCTGCTAAACATGAGGTTTTAGGAGCTATTCCATCACTTCTTACCGGTATGTCGCGTGAACCACCTCCCATTCCATGTTCCGGGCCTCCTGCTGGTCCAGGACTCAATGCTCGCCGCTCACGATTTGATCAGCAGCCGAATACAATTGCCAGCAAATCACAGGAATCATACGGACAGTTCTTTGCTCCTCCACCCAGGAGTGCTCCGAAACAGGGCTGGATGGAGGATGGTTTGTCTTTTTTTAACGTTAAATTGTGTAAATGTTTTCCTTGCTGTTTAGTGTTGCTGGTTACGTTACGCCGGTAGCTTTCATTACATCCCAAAAAATTGAAATCTAGTTTCCATCATGACTTCATTGTCTTTATTGATTCTAAAAATGCCTTTATAGAAGGCGTTCCCGACGGTGACGACATAGACGGTCATCCATTCAACGAAGAAGATCTCATCCCCAGTGTATGTCTTGCTAATCAACAATATCTCTGTGCTTCCAAAACGTTTCAGTATACCCATATTTAAGGCTAAATATTACGAACTTCCTGCTGGTATCATGCTACCAGTTATTGAAATTGAACAATTTTCGGTATGTTGTTCATACTTCGTTTGTTAAATACACGCTAATTAATAGAGAGTTACCGACGTTGTAAAGACCACTCTTTGTTAGTTTCTTGAAATGGTAATGGAATACTCTGCATTAGTTTCCGCCTCTTTGCAGTACACCGCGTTGGTTCCCGACAAGCTAAGGATGCCACCACCTGTTCCACCTTCTCAGAGACTTTTAAGCGCACTTGACGAATTCTATAGCGCAACTCTTGATCCCACACGGGAACCGTGAGTGTACCACTATTTGTCAAGCTCGTTAGGGTTTTATCGATTTTAAGATATTTTTTATTCTCTATCTTTTTTATACGATGTCACATTACGTGTGGTGTGAGTGCCAGCACTTGCGTCTCATTCCTTCTCTCGCATCCTCATTCCACCAAGGTCTTCGGAATTTGCCAGTAGCTTTGGCTGCTGCTTGGGCTTGTGGTCTTGGGAATGGGATTGAGTCGATTTTCTTTGGAATCGAGGAGCAGCAGGGTAGAGCGTTCCCAGGTAGTCATCATAGGTAATCGTCAGTTTTTGTGGATTACAGAGAGAACTAGCCCCACCGGCATGCTTCGGACCAAGTCTGATGTGACGGATATTAAGATGATGTTATTGTGACCGAAATTATGTCGAGATATTTGTAAAACTCCGGACCAATGGTGTCTGCGGTGGGGAACGAATGCGCTATTGTCCTTTCCGGGGAGTGACGCGTTCACCACCACACCATGCGGGTCCTTCGTTTCGCCTCTCTCATCTAGTTCTATCGATCATTGCCACAGCAGTCACCCGTCATCGGGATTGATTTGGGTGGACCAAATCGGCACCGAACCCAGTTAAGCTGAGGCTGTAGGTATAATCACAATCTTAACCTTTTTATTTACTGCTTTATACTTACTATTTGTAATATTTAAAATTATATTTCGCAACATACCCTGCCGCTAAAAAAGAATAGGCAGTAAATAAAAAAGTTAAGATTGCTATTATTACGTTTGTGCCATTTGCTTTTTTCATTTTGTCTTTTTAATATGGTTTTGATAATTCCAATAAATCTTTTCTGAGCATAGGCCACTAGCTGCCTGGGGACGTGGAGGTTGCTCGGAGTTCATGGAAAGAAAGCAAAGGCTACGAAAAATCTTGGAAGAGAAACTTAAGGTTTGTGAACAAAAATAATATGATGAAAAAGACTGCAATATAGGTGCATCTTGCATTTTGTACATATTATGTGTATGAACATATATGTATATATGTGCATATGTACTTATGCGTACATACATGTATATATACACATATATATTTACATACGTATATTTGTACACATACCGCATGTGCGTTGTAAATAGAAGGTATTCAAGGATAGAGTTGATGATAGTCAACTGTCATAATGTGACATCTGTACACTTAATGTGAAGGATGAAGGATGGGAGTAGAATTTTCCAAAAATCTATTCGTAAACGTTAATCTTTCAACTTATTCTTTGTTTGTTACCTTGATAAGATATGCCATGAAGAAGATATTCAATACGTTATTCTTTTGCAACATGAAACTTTCGGAAGTTTTTTTTTATTAATATTTAACTTTCCCATCTACAAGTGCTGTACGTGTATAAATTTGATGCCTAAATTTTCCTATATACTTCCATGCCCGCTAATCTGTTTCACATAGGAATTTCCTTCTCTGCAGTTAGTGAGTAGCGAGTGAACATGGTGTTTCACTAGGTGGCGTATAGGAGTTAATTGTGGACCAAAATCGATCTTGTGCTTTCCGATATAGATGGATTCAGGGATGAAATCTTTGTTTTTGCGACTTCGATTTAATACATTCTGTGTTACGAAGGAATATTTATGCATGTGTGCGAGTGTGTTCTCGTTGATATGAGTGGTATTCGACGAGTCAATTCCGCCAAAAACCTGCAGTCAGTTGACAGGAAAAATTTTGGAACGCGGTTAGGAGCCGCCTTCAACTCGTAAGCTCCTCGTCTACTCTGGGAGAAATGGCAAGCTACCCGTGAGTATACCTATCATTTACATTCAATTCAGCAAGCTTTACGTGGGTATCAAAAGCTAAACACTGCACAGTAACATAGGGCCTCATTCCCCCGAACCCTAAAGAGTCCCCAGTTTCGCAGCGTTGTTTAGGACGAGTATAGAGAGGCTGCTAAATTCACAGAGCCATTTTAAGCTGCTTAAATCGCAAAGGACTACGGTTATGATCTGTACCTACAGCGGACACACATTTGAGTTTGAGTCCTCGATGGAAGACTTGATTGTGTAGGTATGAAGGACAAAATACGAGGTCACCGGACTGATTGAGACGAGAAGACGCCACCCATTCAACTCCGTCTATGACACCGCAGGAGAACTTTTCCTCAGAAGAGGCGATGATAGAGGAGTCGGCGGCATCGGCGTACACGTCAACACGAGTTTAGTCGTGAACATCTCCATTTTAACAACTAACAACCTTAGTGGCATCAGAAACCTGGCTGCTACGTGAACAGGATGAAGGGTCACACAGCGGTATAAAACGCGCAGTCGAAAGGACGATGCTAGGAGTGTCCCGCATCACGCAAAGAGAGAGCAAGCGCACACAATGAACACAACCGGTGGACAAGAGTTGTTAGTGGCTTGATCTCTCGAGGTATCAAACGTAGTGCAGGAAGACCACATACCCAATGATCAGGGTTTTTCACTATAATTCTGGAAGGAATATGTGATGCTCAACGAGTACCTAGAGCGAGCAGAAACCACTGGAGTACTACTGCACGCGATAAAGAGAAATGTAAGATTTACTGGTGCCTGCTAGAGTCACTTAACGTTCAGCGGGACAACAGGTGATGCAGATAATACTACTATGTCAGTGCTTTGTTTATGCACCAATTTTGTTTTTTCCTAGTTGTTGAAATAGAAAAGAAAAAGAGCGTATACGAAAATTTTCGTTTACATATTCAGAAATTGATACGTAATTTCTGGAACGACTCACAATATCAGCGTTGCGATTGGACTGCGATCCGTTAACAGTAACACGGTGCAACTTTGTTTTGAAACTTTCACGATAAATGAAAGTCTTAGAGACGAGAAGGTTCGGAGACTGTCCGCTGCCATTGTTGGTGATCATGAAGTCGTCACTTAAATCATTTTCACGAACAATTCGGAGAGTATAACATGATAGAGTTAGACCTAGGAAGGTGACGGTTTCGGATAGTTTTAACTAATCTCGAAGAAGGAAATTTAAATTTGGGAAATGGGTGCTATGGGCATTGAAGTAATGGTTTATAGATCAACGTTTTGAAGTCTATTCCGTAGTTTTCTTTGTTATTGTTGTTAGCAGCGTTTAGAATCCACTTCTTTGTTGCTTTGTGTCGTGGAGCAAAAAGTTTTGGAGCTTGCACGAGCGGTTATGAAATCAGTGGCCAGGTGAAGATGAAGCGTGAGAACAATTTAGGGAGGTAGTTTGCGTCAACGTATAACTCCTGTTGTGGAAAATATAGTGTACATTTTTAGTTTAGTGCGTTCCAGAAATTTTTTGCTGCTCTGTGCATATTGTTTCGGTAGCTAATCGAAGGCGGGTCAAAATATTACGAACGAGACCAGAAAAACCTTTCTCTACCCTTGGTGATTTACAAAAACCCTTTTCTTTAAAATGTTTATTTAGCTTTTTTACTTACTGCCTTTTCTTCTTAATGGCAGGGTATGTTTCGAATTATAACTCGTATGAAATGCTGAGATATTTGCAAAACTCCGGACCACAGGTGTATGCAGTGGGGAACGAACACGCGCTGTTGTCCTTACCGGGGAGCAGCGCACTGTTTATTTAGCGGTGTTTTAGCCAAAAGTTGACCGTTGTTTCATTTTACTCATTGTCGTCATTGTATGTAATGTGTGGACATAAGAAACAGATAGACTCAGCATAGGGTACATCATGTACCATGAAAGTACTTTCATGTGCTGACAGCAATGTGTTTGCATAATGGCGCATACTAACACATAGTAGCTAGCAGCGTACAGATCGTTCTTACCCACAGATTGTTTGAACAAATTCTCTTCTACAATACTATCATGTTCACTACGCTTAAAGCACTCTGGTTATTGAAAAATTGTTTCTTATCGTCGAAAAACCGGGTAGTCGAAAACCAACAATAAATGTTCTCGTATTCCATTCGTATGGTGACTTTGGTGGTTCATGAGTAGAATTATTCTCAATTGCTTTTCCAGTCCTAGTAGAACAACTTCGATCCCCGCGCCCATGGCTCACCAACCCTTCTATCTCTCTGGGGTAGGTAAATTGGCATTGGACCTGTCTGGGAGGATAGCAGCACTGGCTCGATACATCGGTAGGCCACCATAAGTCGTTGTGAAAGCCAGATATGCATTCAGTCACCTCCAACGATACTTAGTGAAGTCGATTGCATGGTGCATCCCTCAGGAATTGATCAACGTCAAGAGTTTTATTCCTTTATTATTATTATTATTATTATTATTAATTATTATTATTATTATTAATTATTATTATTATTATTAATTATTATTATTATTATTATTAATTATTATTATTATTATTATTAATTATTATTATTATTAATTATTATTATTATTATTATTAATTATTATTATTATTATTATTAATTATTATTATTATTATTATTATTAATTATTATTATTATTATTATTATTATTATTATTATTATTATTATTATTATTAATAGAACTACTTCAGTAAGGAATTTTTATCAGGAGATTGAGGAGAGAATTTGTTAACTAAAGAACTACACTTTTTACATTGATATTGAAAAGTTGAAACGTGCAAGTTCTTTTACATTTCTTGTACAACAGTATTTGCATTCATTTGTTCCCTGTTAGAATTGATGTGCCCTTAATGTACTAAGAGTCGTTCATTGTACTCGATTTGCTGTAAACTATGATTTTTTTCAGAGCGAAAATAAGTCCATAAGCGATCTCATCGAAAACAAACCTTCTGAGGAGGAGTTGAAGATTCAGCAAGAAGATTTCAATACAGAAATTAAACAGAAATATGAGGAAATGAGGAGGTTTCGTGCTCTTCATCTTTATTTCCTTTCTTTTACTTTCATTAGATTCGATATTTTCAAAGCTTTTTTGTTATTGACTATTTATTTTCCATTCTTTCGTTGGTATAGGAATGCTGTTAATGATGAAAATGAGAAAAGGAAAGCAGCGTCGCCTTCATCTCCATATAAACGGAAGGATCAAAGTCGTTCGAGGTTGGTATGAATTGTGAAGTGTGTTGGAATGTCATTAAGATTGCATGCATTGTGTTTGATTGCTAATACCTAATACGTTCGTTGTAGGCGCAGCCGCAGCAGCTCATCATCGTCATCTTCATCACGTTCATCTAGGTCAAGTTCATCGTCATCAACAGATTCTAGTTCTTCTCGGAATCGCTCACGTAGTCGGTCGTACTCTCCAAGAAGGCGGTGATTACAAGAGTAGACTTTTTACTGAAAAAGCTTGTTATTTAGAAATGTTCGATCCATTTTAAGGTCGCGGTCTCGATCTCGCTCTCTGTCTCCCAGCGACCGTCCTTCGTTTGGTTCTCATCATCGATCACCTTCTCCTACGTCATTGTGGGTTCACTAAAGATAAAGAAAACCATAATAATATTAGATATGGTTTGTTTATTTCTTCAATACTCGTTTTTTTAAGCGGTGATGCTTCGCGTTTCCGTATGCCAGAAATGCCACTTTCTAGTGGGAATAAAGGCGCTCAACTTATGCAGAAAATGGGCTGGAGTGGAACAGGTCTTGGTGCTTCGAAACAGGTAGTTTAGTACTCCATGCAATTTAGATAGTTGTTTCCATGTACTCGTGCTCATCAAACATTTACAGGGCATAATAGAACCAGTGAGTGGAGGAGAGGTTCGTGACAGACAAGACCAGTTTCGTGGATTGGGTAGTACAATGGATCCTTATGAACAGTACAGGTTCATATCTTTTTCTTTCTTGTTTTTATCTGATCCTTTCAAATTACTTAATTGGATATTTGGATGGCCCAGCTTCCCTGTTTACGGGCGACCTCAGCATAATTTCCCCTATTTCGGAGTTTTGCTGGTCTACCCATTATGGTCCCTGGAGTCCCAAGGTCAGCTCGGCCAAAGTCTGCCCCAGGTGGGCACCACCAGAGGCAGTCGCCGCATTTGTGGATCAAAGGAGATTTACCACCATGCGACTAGTTTGATATTAGGATGGTGGTGGATCTCGCCATTGGTTTACTCTTAGTTGGTCTTCGTGATGAAAACGCCGGACTCCTCACCGGGAAATCCTGCTGGGCGATGAATCTCCACCTTGCACAGCGCAGGCAGACACCCAGGAATGCCTTCCAACCACTATGATGGCGTAAACCGTTGGGAGGCTTTTCCAATTTGATTGTTTATTTTCCAGAAAACAACGTAGCGGGAGTTACCATGACAGGAACCAAGCGAATTTCGTGTTGAAGGAAAAAGGTTCTGCAGAGCGGCCAAATTAGCGGAGCACTTAATTTTTTCTGCGTTTACAGTAATCGCTGTGTTTATTTTTGCTGATTGAGACTCAGTTTACCCAGTTGTTGTTGTTTTTTCTATGTATTGAACTCTGTTCTCGTTCGTTGACTGTCAATGAAACGTGTCGTATTGTTCGACTGAATACATCGAATACATTTATTATTAATTTCTTAATATGTCTCGGTTTTTTTGCTTTGTTATCACGAGATGGATCCTTTATTCTTTCTTATACCTAGTTGTTTTCCTTTGCTCCTGTCTTGTTTCATTTTGGATTTTATGTAAAATTTCTTTTTAGCATCGTCAGGTGTTAATGTGGAGAAGCCAACTTCGATGGTTGATATATATGTTCCTCACAGGATGTGCTTCTTCTCTTTTTGAAGATCAAATTGGAAAGTTTGACTGGTGAGGTGAAGTCTTGCAAGCAATACTAGCGACAAAATGGCGGATGTTTAGGCGCCAACAGTACGTCGGCTGCCCACACGAGGTTCATTTCGACGCATGGGGTAAAGGCGACCGTTTGCTGGTATCCACCAAAGAGCATGTCTTTGCTTCTCTTTCTGTAAATACTGGGCGTATAGGTGTGTCTTTATTCTCGTTTTCGTTATTGGAAAATGCGCCTTTGAGTTCCTTCATCTTTTTTCACCTTTTTGATGACTTTTTCTTTATTATCTGTGATTTTTTTTTACTTATTACTTAGATACTTGGATGGCCTGTCTGCACTGGTTGTGTGGACCTCAGCAAAATTTCCATTTTTTGAAGTTCTGCTGGTTTAGCTATTATGGCTCGCTGGATTCCCGAGGTCAGCCTGGCCAAAGTCTGCCTTTGTGGATCAGAGGGAAATTTGCTATCATGCGACTAGTTTGGTACCAGGACGGCAGTGGACCCTGGAATTGATTTACTTTTAGCTGGGCTTCCTAATTGAAACGCCGGACTTCTGGTCAGCTTGGGAGGCCATCCCAGGGCGGTGAATCCTCCCGCTGTACATCGCAGCTTGACACCCAGGAATATCTCCCAGCTTCGATGAGGCGGTAAACCGTTGGGAGAATTCAATTTATTGTTTACTATCGCTATTAATCGCTATTATTTGTTACGTTCTTTTAATGGTTTTTCACCCATTATTTACAGTTTACCTTTGCCTTATATTACGAATATCACTACATTTTATTACTTCTGTTATTGTTACTGTTATTATTATTGGTATTATTATTCATCAGCACACTTTGCCACCCATAATTTTTTGTAGTGAAGTTATCGAGCGAAAAATGCAGTATGAGGGCACCGGAAGCGCGATGACTAAAGATGTCGTTTGAGAGAACATCATTGTTTCATCCCTCTTCGAGCCAACCAAGCCTATGATCGCTTTAAGGTCAACAAAATGATGACAGAATTGTCTGGGAAAAAAGAATCCATGAAGGACGGCGACGGACATTGTGTGTTTATAAAAAACAGTCGCTTCCATTTCACATGAAAGCGTTGAGAGGAATTTGGATTTCCAGGAAATCCAAAGAAAATCAAATTCTTAGACTATGACGCAAACGCAGTAGGAGCGAACATCAGAAACACATTGGGAAACGACACTGTAACTTGCATAGCAGTCTGCCTCTCCGCCTTTCCTTCGCGGCAATGTAGCAGTGAGACGTGTCCTCCTCACTGCTCTTTGAGTGCAAAAGCAATTGATCATTGCAGGACACAGAGATATCTTAGTAGTCTTATCTGTTCTAAAAACCTCTCCGAAAGACCGCTTTTTGTACATTGCTGTATAATCACATGTCTAGTCTGGAGTGTGGTGTAGTGGTTGTGTTCGATAAGCTGTTAATTGAATACAAAATGTTGGCAATTTCCCAACTACTCCATCTATAAATGGATGAAAATTAGTTCACATCGGATTCTTACCATTATTATAATAACGATAACTACGAGCTGAAATGAATCTATTTGAAGTTGAAATTCCGCGTAATTTTCGTTCCCATGTGAATCACTTCCTAACGGTTTACCCTCAGCAGGATCTGCCAAGCTGAGAAGGAGTCCGATGTTTTCATCAGGAAGCCCAGCAAGAGTAAACCAATACCAGGATCCACGACCGTACTGGTATCAAAGTCGCGTCGTGGCAAATCTCCCTCTGATCCACAAGGGCGGCGAGTGCGTGTGGGGCATCCAACTAAGGGTAGCTCAAAGCTCAAGTCTCTTTATTAAGCAATGTAATACGACGGTTTTTGGCGTTGTTCACGATGGCGTATTGACTCCTTGTTTTATACTTGTCATAGCTGCATAGTGAATAAGTTTACCAGGTAGACGTATAAGCGTCGAGAATTTTAGAAAAAGCGGACTGGTCGAGATCTTCACTACTTTCTATGCAAGCTTTCAATACCTCATTCTATCCGCTGCTGATATTAGTAGATCCGTTGATTCCCTTCGGCTAAAAATCACCTGTTGATGTCTTATGGATTGAAAAGGGAATACTGTGTACAAATCTCCTAATTGAAATCGATATTCGCTGAATATTAAGCAATATTAGTTCCAATGCATCATTTCCAGACGCACGTTCTGAGCAAACCAAAATTTCACTTTGTTTGACGGACTCCAAATGAATTCGATAAAGCATCATTGTGTTTCGCATTACACCCTACGGGGAAAAATTATAGTAGGCAGCAAGTAAAAGGTTAGCGAAGTGGATAAAGTCTTTTCTTTATTTTACATCAACCGACACTACAAATATTGTGATATTGTGTGGATCCCTGATCTTTTTTCATTTGATTTGTTTCCTTGCCTCCACCACTATCCACGAGGGCCTTCAGTTTTGCGCATGGGTTCGGCTTTTGCTGGAGTATTTTAGCCTTCTTTATAAATGCCATCGAGTACTAGTCGAGTCGATTCTCCCTTTGGTCTTGAGGTAGCGGTGCTAGAGCATTTCTAGATCTTATGAATTCTGTAGGGCTTCATAGGCATTTCTTTTACTAACCCATGAAGCTTGGGAAACTTGGTAAATCTTGGGCGGGATGGAACGTTTTGGCACACTAAACGGGCATCACTTTCACTGCCTTATCCGCTCCAAGTATCTGGCAATTGTTTGGTACAAAACCAGGTGTTCTTCTCCTATGATTGTATTTGAGAACATCACCTGAGATCGTTTAAGTGTGGCGACGTATTCAAGAGGATGCGAAAGGCCTTCAGCTTCCTTCTGTTGCCGATGAAAAAAGTATGTTCGGTATTCGTTTCTTTAACAAAGATACGTTCTGTAATGCTGAGGTATTTGCAAAACTCCGGACCGCAGGTGTCTGCGGTCGGGAACGAACGCGTTATTGTCCTTTCCGGGGAGTAACGCGGTCACCACCACACCATGCGAGTTCTTCGTTTCGCCTGTCTCTCAGCTAGTTCTTTAGCTTTGAAGTTATATTTCGCATATATCCTGCCGTTAAAAAGAGTAAGCAGTAAATAATAAGTCGAAATTGTGATTATAACTACAGCTTCAGCTTAACTAGGTTCGTTGCCGATTTGGACTCCCCAGATCAATCCTGCCGACGGGTGATTGCTGATGGCAAAAGATCGATAGAACTAGCCGAGAGACAGGCGAAACGAAGGACCCGCATGGTGTGGTGGTGAACGCGATACTCACCGGAAAGGACATAACGCGTTCGTACCTCACCGCAGACACCTGCTGTCTGGAGTTTCGCAAATATCTCAGCATTATAGAAGTTATATTTCGCAACATACTTTCCACTTAAAAAGAATAGACCGTAAATAAAAACGTATAGACTACGTCCTCCATTGCTAATGAAATTTTAGCCATGTTTACTATTTCTGACAGCGGTCGTGTTGTCAGAGCGTGGAACAAGAGAGACGGCGCTTTACTCTGGCAGAAACTTATCCCGACAGAGGGTAACGTTAGGTTTGCGTACTGTTCTATTATTTTATTGGAAGCTACGAATGCGATGGAAGTGTTGTGTATATTTTCTATGCAGCAGTTGCAAAGAAGTTTCGACAGTGGATTTGGCATATCCCATATTTCCTTTTTCTGCTTCTTTTGATGAAATAATTTTCTGCTTTTCATAAGCCATTTGGATGGAAATATGCCATGTTTACTATTTCTGGCACATGAAGCTTCTTTGCTAAGCGCTTTCCACTTTTTTGTCCTAGAATTTTTACTGATTATAGGTATCCACTTAGTATTACGCTCTTCGATCAAATCGTTGTGGTTTTAAGTTCCAGACATCTCAGTGCTTTTTCAAAAATCGGTGAAAGTTTGTGGTCGGCTCGTGTTCGAGACAGGTGATTACGAGCTTCTTTGATTTCTTTTCTTTTCCAGTTTGATCCTTGCGTATGCTTTAATTTTTAGTGAATGGTCGGGAATATCAGTTAATGCTGACTACGTGTACCATTTATGTATGATGAACGGCATTCTCTACGTAGAGAATTATTCTCTAATTTCTGGGAAAACGGGTACGGTGAGATCCGTTACCACCAGATCTACGCCAGGAGAAGAGTGAGTCGAAATCGCAATGTTTCATGGTTTTGACATTTCCTTTCTCACCATTTGCTATCTTGAGCTGCGTCATTGTGCACAATTGGTTTGTCTGTGGTCATAAAAATTCTGTGTCTTGGGTGGACATTTCCGTTCCTACGATGGAGCAACGCGAAGAAATCTTTGGGTTCACTGTCAGGTCTGCACATTACTGATACTAACTGTTTCCTTGATAATATTTCACCGCCAATTTTCTAGAGGATTGCAAGTATTAGATAACGATCTTTTGCTGGTGAAAGGCTTACAGTCTGCTCTGGTCTTTGCTGTGACATCAGTTGGAATTAACAAGGTTCTCTTTGTAAAACATCTGTCTTTGTTTTTTATCGTGCTTCACAATTTCCCTATGCGATAACTTTGCAGAGAATTAGTATTGAACATCGAGTTGATTCTGCTGCTTTAAGTTCTAATATGTTAATTGTAATCAGTGGAAAAGATATAGAAGTTTACGACATGAGGACATCTGAAATAGTGTTGAAGGTAAAAATTTATTCGTACGTAGTCCAAGTGCTCTCCCTATGGTTAACCGCCTCATCGTGGCTGGGAGCTGTTCCTTGGTGTTGGGTTGCGATGTGCAGCGGGGAGTTATAACGCCAGCAGGGTCGCCTAAGCTAAGAAATAGTCCGCCGTTTCCATTACGATCCCAGCTAGGAGTAAACCAATACCAGGATACACCACCGTAGTGGTATCAAACTAGTTTCATGGTTGTAAATCTCCTTCGGACCCATAATGGCGGAGACTGCCAGTGGTGGTGACGACCTGGGGCAGACTTTGGCCAGGCTAACCTTAGGACTCCAGGGAATCATAATGGCATAACCAGCAAATCTCCGAAAAATGGAGATGATGCTGGGGCCTGCACAACCAGTGAGGACGGGCCATTCAAGTATCCAAGTGAGTAATTCAAGTACAATTGCAGATCTAAAATGTTTGTTGTTCAGAATACACTTCCGCTTAGTGAGGTTGATGTCGCACCTGTGGAGGCTGCATACATATCGTCAAAGAATGCATTCGAACTGCTAACTGTTGGAGCGGACTGCAGGTGGAATAGGATTTCTAATTTTCAAACAGCTGTGTTTAAGATAATACTTTGATAATATTTTATCGGCTTTTAAATTCAAATGTCTGCAACTTCAGAATTGAATTTTTTGTTATTGATATTGCGAAATCATCTGTGACTTCCGAATGGGTGCGTGAGGAGGCCTTAGCTAGAATTAGTGCAGTTGAAATGATCGATCTACCGCTTTCAGAATTACAACAGATGATTGAGGACGAATTCGAGGAAAGAGGTTTGTAAAGATCTAAGAAGGATCATTATGACCGTTTCTTTACTATTTTAAAGAATTGATGTTTACCACATAATGCCTGAAGCTGGCTTTTCAACAACTGGCCATAATTTCTTGATCGGTGAAGTAGTTGACGATCGGAATTACACAGATTTATAACAGAGGCAAGTGTATCATCCCATGTTTATGTAGTGTATGTAAGGCTATAATATAGCATCTTTATAAACCGTCCCTTCAATCTTAAACATGTTGAGAACTGAAACTTTCAAAGCAGATCGTCTTCACATGGATGAAACGCTACTCGTTCACTTGTTTCCGTTTTCAATGTAAGAATTCCGATGCAAAAACAATGACTAACTGAGTACTGTGGATTCGAGAAAAGCTTTATTTAATCTTAACTCTTTTATTTACTGCCTTTTTCTTCTTAATGGCAGGTTATGTTGCGAAATATAACTCGTATGAAATGCTGAGATATTTGCAAAACTCCGGACCACAAGTGTATGCAGTGGAGAACGAACACGCGCTGTTGTCCTTACCGGGGAGCAGCGCACTTCACCACTACACCATCCGGGTCCTTCGCTTTGAGGTGAACCCCGGCTACTTCTATCGATCTTTTTTGCCATCAGCAATCACCCGTCAATAGGGTTGATCTGGGGAGCCAATATCGGCATTGAACCCAGTTAAGCTGAGGCTTAGTTATAATCACAATCTTAACTCTTTTATTTATTATTATTTATTTATTTGATTTTTATTTTGTGAAGTGCGCTGCTCCCCGGTAAGGACAACAGCGCGTGTTCGTTCTCCACTGCATACACCTGTGGTCCGGAGTTTTGCAAATATCTCAGCATTTCATACGAGCTTTATTTAATTTTGGTAAAAAAAGAACTTGCATGTGAACGAAGTTCTGCAGATTCTAATGATTTCTCCTTCATATAAGTAGTTTTATATAAAAGTTCGTTAGAGCTGTCACCGTTGATCAACCCCTGAGGGATGCGCTGTGCATTTGACTTCATCAAGCATCGTTGGAGGTGATTTGAATGCATATTTGCCTTTTACAATGACTTGCGGTTGCCTATTGATGTATCGAACCAGTGCTGCTATCCTACCAGATAAGTCTGGCACTAGTTTACCGACCCCGAAGGGATGGAAGACTTGGTGGACCAGGGATGCAAGAATTGATCCCATATTTATTGCAGCGCGCCTCCGACCGCTAAGCTACACGCACCCCAAGTAGTGCGATGTACGCTATGTTGTTTTAAATTTGTAAGCACTCATTATTTGGCACCGATTGCCTCGTACTCAATGCTTTTGGAGTAGTGTGTGTTGGAGCATTAAGGAACGTGCCGATTTCTTGTGATTGTTTCTAAAGTATCGCTTTTCACCACTTCTAGAAAAATTTCCGTTTATTATTAAAGTATCTTGAAAATCGAAAAAGAAGTGCAGTTTTTCAAAGTTTTAGCATAAATGCACCTGTCGAAAATATCAAAGATGAGAGATGGGGACCTGACTGTTCTATCGTAAATAAAATTCCTCCTGTTCAATGGCTATAGTGCTGTGACCCCTAACATGTAATGTTTGATGCTATTTCTTTATAAATCACTAATATTTTTCACTAATAATCACTAAAAGTGACTAATCACTAATAATCACTAAAAGTCCACGATTGTCGTTCTTTTTTTCAAATTTGATGCTTCAAAGTTGAAATCTTCAAAAAGTTCCTAGGCGAAATCTATTAAAAAAAAATATTTATTATCTGTTTGCTTGGTATTAGGTACTTTTTAGGCCTTTTGTTATTTAAGATTTGAATTTTGCTTCATTCAGGTCAATTCACATTTATTCGTGAACAAGATTTCTTTATTTCAATTACATTATTGAGAAACGGCGCGTGTAGCGCAGTGGTCGCAGGTGCCGCGCAGTACACATGTGACCGATCGCCGCGCTCCAGGCTCACCAAACCTTCCATACCTATTGGGTCGGCAAATTGCTGCCAGATCTGTCTCGTTGGATAGCAGCACTGGCTCGATACATCGGTAGGCCACCGCGATTCATTGTTAGCGCCAGATGTGCATTCATTTACCTCTAACGATGCTTAATGAACTCGAATGAATGGCGCATCCCTCAGAGATTGATCAACGCTGAGAGCTTTATCCTTTTTTTATATTATGGAGTAGTTAAACTAGTCAAAAGAAATGGGGTGATTAAGTTCATAGCAATGAGTATTACCGAGAAGGAGGAGACAGTCCAATCATTTCTTTTCTCACTAGTTTTTTCTTATTATTTCGGACTTCAACAACGCACTTTTTTAGAAAGGATACCAAGGCTTATCACTTACACCTCTTTTGAGTCAAATCTAATTCTTGCGTTGCGAAAGGGAAAAAATTAGCCAGGTTCTGGTTTGATCCGAGAAATCTCAATTCGCAGTGAGCATTATTAATTAAAGTTGAAAATGTAGAATCATCAGATTTTGGCCAGTGAAATGCATATTGTCTTATTCACAGATAAAATGGTGATTTTCTCGATACTGAGCAACGTTTCTTTCTTTCTTTTTTACTTTTGTAAGTTAAGGTTCCTATGAAGATGACGGTAGTTGAACATGCAGAGTTTCGTATAGGAGATCACGACATTTTTTCCGATATATCGTTTATGTCCGATTTTCCAGAAATCCAGAAATTCTAATTCAATTCGTGGCGTTTTAGAAAGTTCATTTCTTTACAAGTTTAAATTTTTTCATACGACCTGTCTATAATAACTATTCCTTAAATAACCACAACGTTGCTGGATATTTGCAAAACTCTGGACCGCAGGTGTCTATGGTGGGGAACGAACGCGCTATTGTTCTTTCCGGGGAGTAACGTGTTCACCACCACACCATGCGGGTCCTTCGTTTCGCCTGTCTCTCAGCAAATATCTCAGCAACGTTGTGGTTGTATTTCGCTTAGTAACCTGCCATGAAAATTATAGAAGGCAGAAAACAAAACGTTAAACATTGTGATTTCAACTACAGCCATAGCTTAACTGGGTTCTATGCCGATTTGCGCTCCCCGGATCAACCCCGCTGACGGGTGTTGCTGTGGCAAAAAGATCGATAGAAATAGCTGAGAGACAGGCGAAACGAAGGACCCGCATGGTGTGGTGATGAACGCGTTACTCCCCGGAAAGGACAATAGCGCGTTCGTTCCCCACCATAGACACCTGCGGTCCAGAGTTTTGCAAATATCTCAGCAACGTTGTGGTTGTATTTCGCTTAGTACCCTGCCGCGAAATTATAGTAGGCAGTAAATAGAAAGGTATAATATTCCTTAAATAGTTCCTGTTCTATATAATATCACATGTGTTCTATACTAACTATTTACTTATAACTATCTTAAATCTATCGATTCATAATGTATAAGTTTTTATACCGTTCCAACATGTAGTTTCTATAAAAGCCTCTGGCATACCGCCTCATTTGAAGTACTTCTCCTCATGTACCGTGTCATGCCGTGGTTCAGCATTGTCTTTAGTTCCCTCTGGCAAAGCCCCACCTACTACAGAAGTAATACAGGCAGCCTATCGGCATTCGTCTTCAAGTGTTCGCAGCGTTCGTTCGGTCTTCATCCAGTCCCTCAGTTCCTCAGTGCTCCAACTCTAGTGTCCACCTAGCTTCCTTCAGTTGTATCAGTTGTTTTAATTTCAATCTCGCTCTTATATATCCAGCTAACCAGATATCGTCACATATCACATATTATTGTTCCGTTGTTATTGCTATAAACTGTTATAACCCAAACTCAAGGTTGTCCACGGCAGTTACGGAAAAAAGTTTCGCGTGGTGAATTCAAAGTCGAGCATTCCACGTGTACATACAATTGGCGGACAAAAGACAAATCCGACCAACTCCCTAATCCACTGGCCAACTAGCACACTGCCTTTCACGTCTACTGTGCGAATCCCAGCATTTCTCATATTCGATTCGTTTCCACGCAGCAGTCATCCACTAAGATGTTCGGATTTTGGGTGTAGGCTCGACTGCTGCTTAACGATTTTGCTTTCATCTTGAATGTCGTAGAATGCTGACGGAGTCGATTCTCATTAGGGGTCCTGAGATAGCCGCGATAGAGCGCTCACACTTTGATTACAAAGGAGTGACTTTTTCTAGGCAACTCTGGTACCAATTTCCCGACCCCTGAGAGGTGAGAAACTTGCTGAGTTCGGAGCGGTATGGAGCCACTATCGCGCTCGTGATGACCAGCATCGCTATCACTGTGCTATCCGTTCCCTAAGTTTAAAATTATAGAGGTTATTTATAAAAATTGTTTGTGCCGTCATAGGGTTAGAGTAATATCTCTTCTGTCATGCTGTAAAATTCTCAACTGTTCCACTGATCAAGGTTTTTGCAATTACTAATGCGATCTCGAATGGGTAGATAACTAAGGTTTGAGCAAACATGACTATTAAATGGTGATTGACCTTTCAAAAATTTACTATCCTGAGGCACCTAAACGTGTTCATGCAACTAATATAATTCACAATTCATTTCATTTATCTATTGTAGGAACTTAAGTATTAAAGCAAAGTTTTTTTTTACAGGATCCAGTGATATTATGTCGTCACTGATTAGGCGTTTGGTTTCACAGGCCTCACAAATTCACAAATGGTTTTTAGATACAGTTAATCAGGTAGTGTTTTAAGTTTACGTTGAATCTGTCATTCATTTGTACTTATTGCTCGTTACAAATTATCACGACCAGAGTGGAGAGTGTTCCAGTCCGTAGAGAAATTGTCTAACCAATAAAAGCTATGAAGCTCTCGGCTTTGATCAATCCGCCTTGCATTCGACTTCACTAAGCATCGCTGGAGGTGATTGAATGCATATCTGGCCTTTACAATGACTCGCGGTGGCTTGCCGATGTGTTGAGCCAGTGCTGCTATCCTCCCATGTCTTATAGCAATTTGCTGGCCTCAGAGGAATGGTAGACTTGATGAGCCTAGGTAGCGAGGATGAATTCCGTGTGTATTGCAGGTCGCCTCCGACCACGGCACGCCCCTTAATTGATAAACTAAACAATATATTTTTAAAATACGTACGGTGGCATAGCGGCAGTGCGTATTTGTGTTCCAATGGTTTTCCTTCCCGAGTGTCTCCTTTGTTGCACTGTTTTTCTTTGTCAGGCTTTTGTACTCTTATATATATATTTTTTTATACATTGATTTGTGGCCTCATATGTTCCTTTGGGCATAACTCGAGAAAAATTCGATTTGTTGAGCAGAATTCCGAGTTCCTAATACGCTCAAGAAAGGGCGCGTGTAGTTCAGTGGTCGGAGGTACCCCGCAATGCATTGGAGATTGATCCCCGCGCTACCGGCCCACCAAGCCTTCCTTCCGTCCGGACTCGAAAAATTGGTTAGAAAAAAATTGGTACGACATATCCGTCATCGTTTATTTCATATAGGGGAAGGAGGACGTGGCCATTGAAGAGATCACGGTAGTAATCGTGAATGATTTTCCCCATTACCTCTCTGGAAGATGTAAATGTTCCGTCTGGGAGCCGTAGTGCAGTGATCTTGATTTGTAATCAACGAAGCTATGGTGGGTTTTCCCGCGCCCATGGCTCACCAAGCCTTCCTTCCCTCTGAGGTCGGCAAATTGCTACCAGACTTGTCTGGGAGGATAGCAGCACTGGCTCGATACATCGGTAGGCCACCGCGAGTCATTGTAAAGGCCAGATAAGCATCGAATCACCTTCAAACGATGCTTAATGAGGTCGAATGCATGGCGCATCGCCCACATATTGATAAACGGTGAAAGCTTTATCCTTTATCCTTTAATACGTTCAAGGGGTAAGAGTTTCATTTCTTTTCTTATTTATTATATTAGAAACTAGTAACTCCTAGTTTATTCAGTGTTGCTGTGATTTTGATTCCCAGATTCATCCTTTTTTGAGGTGTTTTCTATTTTGTATGTCTTAACAACACCAACGAATTCTTTCTCAAAACTACTGGACCATGTCCGAAATGCTGCCAAATTGAGCAAGTGAGTTACAATGATGTAGACAGTTTACATGGTCATTTGTAAATTCAGCACAAAGGGGAATTGAGTTTAAATTTCTTTTAGTCGTCGTGAAAAGATATTCGAGCGGGATTTCTTTAATCTACAAAAAATGATCGTAACCACATCTCTTGATGGGGTTGTTTTCGGTATTGACAGCAGCGATGGTGCTATAGTTTGGAGACTGTACCTCGGGAAGAACTTCACTCCGTTGGTTAGCTTCACAGGAAAAAATGAGGTATGTGTCAGACTAGCTAGAATTTTGGCTCACCCTCATTATGCTTTGTCCAGGTGCCTTTATTCATGCAAAGGTCTACAGCCCATTATCAGTTACCTGGACAAGCATCGGTAGCATTTAAAGACGTAGTGAGTAGATTTCGTCTACGTTATCGTTTTTTCGATGTTGTTATCGTTATCCATCTCTAGTATTTGTTTGCAGAATTCTGCTGGTGTTTTGGTATTTTTCAATCCAATAACTGGCAAGGTCATAAAGAGAACACAGTTACCGTTCCCCATATCTCGCGTTGATGTGTTAAGTTTTGTTGGAGAAGATCACATACACCCACTGGTAGTAGTTGGTCAAAATAATGAGGTAGGTATATTTATACGTCAGTTTTTTTTTTACTTTATATGAGAATTATAAAACAACTGCAGAAGTCATAATTTTCTTCTCATCGGGAAGTTTATGTGGTTGGAGTTTTTAAATTGTTTGAATAAGCATTTCACACTTCAGAAAACAAATTCTCTGCTTTCTCCTGTTTTGTCATAAAAGCTAGGACAAGGTTCATCATTGGTGGCAAATTTGGAACTGGCGGTTATTGCATCCGATAATTTTTTTGCGCCGTTTTATGATGTAGAAAGCTTGTTAGCTGTCAAAATCAGAGCCAGTAAATAAAAAATTCGATTAAACGTAATTAAGGAGAGGGGGTTGCAGCTGACGCGAAATGTCCAATTTTTATTAGCGTGACGTATGGTCAGAATGACATGGTTCGAAGCCCGTACTGTTCTTCATTCTTTGGTAAAAAGAATTCTCGGCACCCCTGAGGAATGGGCCATGCATTCGACTTCATTAAGCATCGTTGGAGGTGATTGAATGCATATCTGGCCTTTCAGTGACTCGTGATGTGTGGAGCCAGTGCTGCTGTACTCCCAAGCAAGTTTGATACTGATTTTCCGATTCCGGAAAGATGGTCTTGAGTGCGTGAATCGATCGAATGTGTATCGTAGGACGCCTCCGACCACTGCGCTACATACACCCTTTGTTTGTTAATTGCATTAAATGTGCTTTAGAACTATTACGTTGTCTGTGTCGCCAGTCAGCTGTAAACCCGCAATCACTGAGTCATTGGACCACGTTCCAGAATGTTTGCTTTTCTTGAAGACGGCACAGTAGGCTTGCTGCACAAGAAGAATACAAAAAATGTCGCATATATTGTCCGAAACCCATTATTTTTTACTGTTTTTCGAAGGGTATCCATAAGTGACTTACTTGTTGTATCGTAGAGAGTAGGTATATGGTGACGATTCTGTTATCAAGCTTTTCGTGGTTACACATTTAGATCATTTGTTGTTGTTCCCGAACGGTTTCCAGTGAACCTTCCACTTATTAGATTATGGTTCTGGGTAAATCGACATGTGGGGATACAGTACATCTAAGCAGTCACACCTACGCATGTGCGCATAGTTGTGACAGCATGTAGATGAAAACTGAGAGCAAGTGGTAACACATTGATAATGATATCATTCAATTCGGCTATGGCATTGGTTCGACCGAGCCTTAATCTACCGAACCACACTCTGTCCGAATTCGGAAAATTGTTACCAGACTCGACTGGGATCACCATGCTCTCACTTCACGAAGGTTGACGACTTCCCGAGACTATTGAAAACCTTTGAACGCCATAGCACTGCCGTATCTCGATTCCATGGTGAATCGACGCTTACACCAGCATTCAGTGACATTTATGAAAAGGTTCAGAAATCGTTAAGAGCCAAAGCCACTCTCAAATCCTAAGGCCTTCGTGGAATATGGATGAGAGGATACGAATCGATGCAGATATGTTGTGATCTGGACAACATATCTGCATTGGATTCATATTGCTCGTGCACAAGAAATATGAGAGATGCAAAGTGGTTTGGCGCTGTGGAGAACGCTAATGGACCTCCGAATCTAGCCTGCATCTCGTGACAGTAGCACTGCTGCTATGGTTTGCTTCTATTCCTCGACCGTCCACCTGGTGCCTACGACATTTTCACGCGGCTTGCCATGCTGACTATTTATTGCGAAATGGTATCAGTTAGGGTTCTTATTTTAAACTAGTGATCTAAAATGGTTTTTATAGAAGTGTTGTTAATTTTGAAGGACTTTTAATGGTCTCTACGAATGCCGACTTTACAGGTTTCCTTATATCCGCCACAACCGAAGGAGATATTGCTGGCTGCACCTCCAGTGTATATACTTCTAACAGATTCTTCGCGTATTTCCGGAGCTGTGATAAACTTTTTGGAGAATAAAATCACAAAGATGTGGGAAGCTGATTTACATATCACATCGACGGAGAAAATAATCGAAATCAAAGGCAAACCTATGCATCGTACGTCGTCTATGAAGAAGTTTGAATCTCATGGAGTATTTCTTCGTTAGTTGTAGTCTTTTTCCTCCTTATTCGTTTACTTCAGAAAAGGTTCATTCGCAAGGACGAGTTCTGATTGATCGTAATGTGCAGTACAAATACGTTAATCCTAATCTGGTTTGTTCAAGCTTATTCATTTGTGGTAAGCTAGTACCACTATGTGTTAATTTCCCTCAGGTCGCAATAGTTACTTTGGACTCAGTAAACCAGTACTTGTCAATCTTCCTTGTGGATGTGGTATCCGGACAGATGATTCATTCAGCCCGTTTAGCCAAAGTTACTGCACCGCTGCATGTTGTCCACTGTGAGCACTGGATTGCGGTATGGTTGTCGGTATTTCCATTCGTACTCGTCGTAGTACTTTTTCTTTTGTGACCAATACTGAGGCAGTCACAGTGATGCTGAGATATTCGGAAAACTTGAACCAGAGGTCAGATCGAACCACGATTACCGGGTCGCGCGTTGAATACTGCACCACTGAGACTCTTGCTTTGCCTTTGTCTCAGCTAGTTTTCCACTTAACGCTGCCATCAGCATTCACCTTTCGCCGGGAATGATCCGGGAGCACAAATCGGCATTGAACTCAGTTAAGCTGAGCTGACAAATTGAGACAGTTTTTGAACTATCATTGTCCACCAATAAAAATTAGAGACCTAATGACGATTTATTCGATTTTTATATCTATTACGTACAAATAAGTGTAGAATAATGCTGAGTTATTATATCCAGTATTCATATTGGTCGGAGAAAGGAAGACGGACTGAAATAGGCATACTAGAACTCTATGAAGGCGGTGAACGGACCAATAAGGTACTATATCGATGTTTTTTCATTTATTGAAACAAATCACAAATGTTCTATCCACTTTTGCATTCTACAGAATTATTTCGACTCCTTATCACCAATGAAACAACCTCCTGAACTTGTGACCCAAAGTTTTATATACGCGCAAGGAATCAGTGCAATGGCAGTAAGTGAAACAGGTATGTGCACTTGGTGTGTGTAAAGTAGTGAGGACCTTCGCATCTGCCAGGAGGCGTTAGTTTACTGAAGTGAATCAGTCATGTGAACATTTATGTGGATCAACTAATTATTGGAGTTTTCGGTGATTGCTTCGTTTACCAAACGATTCACTTCGATTAATTATTGGTGTTTTAAGAGCAGGGAATAACTACACGATCCTTACTGCTTGCACTTCCACTAGGTGGAATACATGAGGTAACGCGAAAGCTGTTAGATGCTACGCGACCTCTTGAGTTAACGCAAGAAATGCGTGAGGAGATGATAATACCGTATATTCCTGAGATTCCGATCGCTACTGAAGACATGGTCAACTATAATCAGACTGTACATGCCGTTCGAGGAATCAGAACTGCGTTAGTTTCTGTTTAATGAGATTCTGTGAGATCTTAGTTGACTCATATTTTTGCTTATCTAATAGATTTATCTAATAGATTAATAATAGATCTATCTTGTTGCTGTTTCTATTTGAACACTATTCTTTATTTATATTGCGGTATACCTCCCAAGGGTTTACTACCCTATCGTGGCTACGAGGTATTCCTGAGTGCCGGGCTACGATGTACAGCAGAGGGATTCGTCCTCCGGCCGGTCTCCCAAGCTGAGAGGGAGTCTGGCGTTTCTATCAGGAAGCACAGCTAAGAGTAAACCAATACCAGAATCTACCATCATGCTGGTATCAAGCTAGTCGCATGATAGGAAATCCCGCTCTGATCCACATGGGCGGCGATGCCTATTGTGGTGACGATCTGGGGTAGACTTTGGCTAGACTGACTTCAAGACTCAAGGGAACCACAATCGCTAAACAACCTAAAATCCGAGAAAGTGGAACTTAAACTGGGGCCCGCACAACCAGTGAAGGCGACCCGTCCAAGTATCCCAAGTAGGTAAGTAAGTATTGCGGCAGATATATTCTATTAAACGAAAGGTGATGGAATTTAACTAGGAAATGGTACACAATTTTCTTTATATTGAAATTACTTTGTGAGATCGTTTTTGTAAGGCTTCTTAAATTTGTAAAAACCATAGAAAAGAGATTATGAGCAGATTCTCGCCAGTGAAATGTTCCAGTCACTCAAATAGCTCTAGGCAACCATCTAGATGCACCTTTAGGTTCCTCATAAACTAATGAAGCAAAGCAAATTGTACGTTAGTGGATCATTTTTCCTCGTTTGTAGAGGAGGATGTTTTAAAAGAAATTGTGTCAGCTGAGTCTGATGTGTAAACTATGCTCGTAAGAGTTGGTTGCCTCCTTGAATGTTCTTTTTTGCTATCGATCTTCAACTTCATGAGTTGACATAATTGAGAATGAAATGCTTAACAAAAGCATCGGTAATCAGACATTCAATGGAAATGATATCTTTTCTGTTTCTCTGTTTTAGCCATTTCTTTGCTTCGTAATTCCTATAATTTTGTGTGAAGGGGATCTGATACCTATCTATGAATTGGGAATAAGTAAAAGGAAATAGAAGAAGAAAAAGAGGAAGTAAAAGAAAAAAAAGGAATAAGGAATGACTAATTAGCGTTGTTGGTGTGTGCTATGGTCTGCCATTATGTCCCAGTGAGGGTACAAATTTTGATTCATTGGGCAACAATCTTTTTCTAGCCTGCTAAATATGCACGGTAGAATATTTTCACATTCTAGCAAGCATTCAGAATAATTTCTCCATCCAACTCTTGTTCTATAATTTTCCAGAGATTGTAAAAACCTTTGTTAGTTTTAGCGCCTCTGGATTGGAATCTACCAGTTTAATGCTGGCTTATGGAATTGATGTATTCTTCACGCGTCTTCATCCATCTGGAACATTCGATATTCTAAAGGACGACTTCGATCATGTGTTGATCAGTATTGTTCTGTTTGGACTTATTGCTGGAAGTATTGTTAGCAAAAAGTTCGCTAGGAATAGTTCTGTGTCAGCAGCATGGTCTTGAAACTACTTACGGAAGATCTTTATTGTTTTTTGTCCATTAGCTTTTCTTAAGTACGGTACATTTTGTGCGTATTACTTCAGTTCTTTTCTTTTTCTGCCCCTTATACGATGACGTGGGCGTGTTCCAATGATGGATGACGTCATTTATGTTGTTTTTTTAGGTCATTCATTTGTAACACAGTTCATATGGTGTTGTAAATTTATGACAGTGTTGTTTTTCAAATATGGTAGTATGAAAGCGCAGAAACCTTCGAATTTACTCGTGTTTGTTTTTTTCCCTTTTATTTGTTATTCCATTAGGTTTAAGTTTGACTCCTTAGCGATGTTGTAGTGCTAGATCTTTCTTTGATTACTATGTGGCTGAACGAGAAGTTCTAGTACAGTAGTAGAAGAGACTGAAGACCATTCCTAGTCTGTCACTTATGCTCATCCTTCAGATGTTTTTCTCTGCTACTATGGATTTATTGTTGTTTTTTCTGTGACTAATTTGGAACATAAGATTAGTGATATGAATTCTGTTTATTCGGCTATTTCTCTGACTCGCATACGGATGCGTGATTCTATACAACAATCTAGACGATTGTAATAATACATAACAGTGATAATGATTCTGTCACGGTTTCTCGCAAGAAGAACAACCTGTGAAATCAATATGAACTATTCAACAAAACTATGGACGACAAACGAAGTATGAACATCTTGCCACACTTCGTCAAGTGTACATAGTAAACTAGATGAGACGTCATTAGATCGAATCCTCTACCTAGAAGTCGTTGGCTCTTGAACGAGACGGCGATCGCATCACAGTTGCCGACTGTGATGTCTGGAGACCACCGGGTGCGACGGAGGCGCTGGACCGCGACTTGGCTCTCATCTTCGACAGCGAGTTCTCGGCCACATCAGCACGCTCTTCGGCATCCTCGAGTTGATGTTGGATTTGGCGATACTTTTGCAGGTTTAGATTTGCCACCTCCTCCTGAAAGTTTTGCAGTAGTTAACATCCACTTTACTTCTTTTCATTAAAAGAGTGAGAGCTGAAATTGAGCTTACCGCTTCTTCGATCTGGCGTTTCTGTGTCTTTAACTTGTTCTGCAACTTATCGATCAAGTCCTGCAGGCGTTCGAAGTTTTTCTTGTCTTCATCAACCTGGAGACTCATACTAGTTTATGAAAACTTTTTCTTCAAGTAATGTAAGAACTAATACTGACCTGAAACTGAAGTTCACGAACTCGGCGATCGGCTTTGCCGAGATTTTTGTTGGCCTCTTGGTATCGGCGCTGTTCAGCGTCAAGCTCTGACTCTACCTCACGCACACGTTGTTCCAGTTTAGCGATAACCTTAATGTATGCAATGGAATAAAATCATCTCTGAAAGTTATATTCTAAGCGATTACCTTCTTCCCTCCTTTCAATGCAGCAGCTTCAGCTTCATCGAGACGAACTTGCATTTCCTTGAGCTGTTGCTCTAGACCTTTACGCATGCGGTCAATCTGCTGTGAGTGTTCTTGTTCTTGGCGAAGCTCCTCGGCTAGACGACCAGCATCTGCCATCGCCTTCTTGCTGCGCTCTTCAGAAGCCTTGAACTCGTTAAGAGTTTCATCCAGGTCAGCCTATAAAGCACTTTTCCCACAGAATACTAGTAAGACCTATGTCGAGTTTTTCTGTGGAGGTTCTTACCGCACAGAAAAAGAGAGCCAGCTACGCGGATTACGAAATATATATATATATATTCTTAAAGTGTTGTTTTATCATAGGATGATTTGATTTGAATAACTTGCTATTGCGAAAACTTAACCGACTGCATTAGCTTCTCTACATTCCTTGAATACAGAAGGAACTTACGTGAATGGCTTGGATTTCGCCCTCAAGTTTCCTCTTAATGGCACCTAGCGATGCAGCCTGTCCAGAGGATTCATTTGCCTGATCACGCGCATCGTTCGCTTCGTACTCAGCTTGCTTTCGTGCTCGTTCTGCTGCTTCATTGGCCACCAACAGTTCCTCTTTTTCCGACTGCAGAAGTGTAGCTCTTTTTTCGGCATTGAAGAACTGCTCGCGGATCTCATCTCGCTGGCGTTGCTCTTCCTCAACCTGCAGTTGCAGCTCACGAATCTGTTCTTGGTAGCGTTTCAAATTTTTCTGTGCATCGGCGTTCGCCTTGTTAGCGTGATCGAGAGCTATCTCAAGTTCATTTATATCCGCTTCAAGCTTCTTCTTTACTCTGAGCAATTCAGTCTTTCCTTTGGTTTCAGTCTCAAGTGAGGCTTGCATGGAATCCATGGCCCGCTGGTGGTTTTTGCGGGTGTTTTCGAATTCTTCCTCTTTTTCCTGAATGCGTTTCTCGATCTCTGACCGAATCTGCGACACCTCTACTTGAGCACGGAGAACCTTGCTCTCCTCTGCTTCTAATGCAGCCTCTGCTTCATCAAGAGCATGTTGCAGCTCCTCTTTCTCGATCTCAAGACGACGGATTATTTTCTGCATTTCATGTACTGATCGACCTCCTTCACCGAGTTGGTCAGTGAGATCTTTGATTTCCTGGCTTAAGCTCTTGTTCTCGCGTCGTAGGCCCTCAACTACTTCGTGTAGTTCTTCCAGAGCGTTCTTTGCCTTAAACAATTCGGTCGATGTGTTTCTGGCATCCCTCTGGGCACCGTCAAGTTCTGCAGATAAGTCGTCGGTCTTTTTTCTCCACTCGTCGATGACCTTGTCGAAGCCTTTCTGTTTCTTTTCCAAAGAACTAGCAAATGCATTTGCTCGCTCTACGTCAACCTGCGCGTCATCAAGATCTCCCACTAATCTGCTCTTAGTCTTTTCTAGAGAAGCGATCTTGGAGTTGGCTGCGTCTAGAGCTTCCTGCAGCTCGTTGATCTTTTGTGCCTGGCGTCTTTTTGCATCCTCAAGTTCATCGGCTTTAATGAGACCTTCACCTTCAAAGCGTGCTTTCCACTGCTGGATTTCCGCATTGGCTTTGCTTAGCTGTCTCAGCACCTCGTTTTTAGATTCGATCTCCTCTTCAAGACTTTCTTGAAGTTGTTCGGCTTCATGCTGATAGTTCTTAGCTTGGGCGGCTAGGGTCTGGCGTTCACGAGCTTCCTCATCAGCAGTGCGGCGAGCTTCTTCAAGCTGGCTGGTGAGCTGACTTTTTACGCGCGAGAATTGGTTCATTTGAGACTCCGCATCTTCTAACTGACGACTAAGTTCACCATTCTCGCTTTGCAATCGTCCTTTCAAAGAGGTAAGGTCTTGGAGTTGACGAGCTTGTTCGTCACATTTAGTTTGCAATTCTGTCAATTGAAGTTCGAATTGCTTGGCAAGTTTTTCGTTGTTTAGTTTGGCTGAGGTCTCAGAGTCGAGTTGAGCGGCTAAATCTTCAGCTTCACGGTTGGCCTGGATCTTTTCCTTTTCAATCTTGGTCTTTTGTTTTTGTAACTGATCGAGCTGGTCTGTTAACTCGGCGACAGCGTCAGTGTGCTTCTTGCGTAGTCCACCGAGTTGGTTTTCATGGTTCATGTTGGCTTCCTCCAAATCGCGACGAAGCTTAGCTAATTCCGCCTCTCTCTTCTTATTCACCTCCACTTGTGCAGCGGTAGCCCCACCTTGTTCATCTAGACGATCACCGAGCTCCTCAAGTTCCCGCTGAAGATCAGACTTGGCTCTGTCAGCTTTAGCACGAGATTGTCGTTCGCTTTCAAGTTCTTCCTCTAGCTCAGAGATACGGCTCTGTCCGTCTTTGATTTGCCGTTGGAGCTTGCTAACTAGAGCTTGTTCATCTTCGAGACGGCTGCTCACCGAATGCAATTCACTTTCTTTTTTCTTTAGATTGTTTTCTAAATCATGACGTTGCCGGGCAGCTTCATCGATGTTCTCTTGGGCGATTTTCAACTCTCCCTCTACCTTTCGTTTTTGCTTGTCTAGATCAGCACGAGCTCGTTTCTCGCGTTCAAGGCCATCTTCAAGATCATCCAAAGTCTGCTCAA